TTGGTTTTTTAAGATTCCAATAAAAGGTGATTGGGAAAACCAAACAACAAATGTTAAATTTCAGTGAAGAGAGACGTGAAACTCATCCTGTGGCATTCCACAGTAACTCATCAGTGTACAGCCATGTCATGTGTTCGGCCATGTGTTTAGAAAGATGCTCTGTTGGGGAAGCAGCCATACTTTAAGATGGTATTTTACTAAAGTTTTACCAAAACCATGCCAAGTTTATGGTTAGGTAGTGTAGCATCCACTTGTACTAACTGTGGTGTTCATTGTGGTCACTGAATTAATTTCACATACCAAATTATGGAGGGACATTTCTTCTGTATTTTAGGCTGTGTGCTTTTGATGTGGCTTCTTTTTAAGCTTTCCTGAATTCTCATGCAAATAAAGATATGAAACAATGGATGTACCTAAGCTTGCAGTAACAAGCTTAGTGATGGCAGTAAAGAACTTTTTTTTTTTCCTTTAAATATGGGAAAATGGAAGGGTTGAAAGCAGCCAGAACCTCTCCTAAACAGGAGATATAAGCAGCAGAACCTGGGCCCAGATAGGAGTTTTAAAATACCATGACTCCTTTTTTATCCTTCTCCACATCCTCTTGCCTTCACTCAAACCAGGTATTTCATCTTATATAAATATATTGTTACTACCCTCTAGTGAGAGTCATGTGTGCAAAGCAATTACTCAATGAGCAGCCAGTCTTTCCCTTTTCTGCTGATAGCCCTTGCAGCCTTTGGGTGCCTCCTGTTATTCATTATTGGTAAAAAACCTGAAAGGTTTCTACATTGCTTAAATTATTATTTTCTCACTCCATATTTCAAGAGTTTCATGCTGTTACATGAATTAGCAGAACATTTAACTTCATTTTCTAATACTTTGCATCATACATCGAATACAGTCTCAAAGTGGTGGGAATATGCTGCCATTCTCCATGTGCCAGTGAGTTTTCCAAGGCTGTGCAAAACACAGACGCAGTGATGGGCAAGAAACTCACCTTTGAATAAACCACCTTTAAATCTGTGCTAGAATGCAGTTTCCATAAACTCAGGCTGTTGCTGTACTTGAGCTTGTCCAGCCTGATTTGAAGTTATCTGCAGACCTGTCCTCTGTAATGGCCTTAAAACGCTGTTTTAGAGCCCAGATGAAGGTACTTTGGGATCCTTGAGTGTAAGTGTAGATGAGAGCCTGAGAAGAAAACATGAAATGCTCCTGCCCAAGAGTGGGCTCTTTCAGCAGCCCACGCAGTTAGTGCTGTTCTGAGCACACCACTCTTGTTTCGTGGATTGTCTTTAAGAGTACACAGCTGCGTTCTGTTGGCTGATGCTGAGTGAGTACATGTATTTTTCTTGGTATTCGCCCTGAATTCTTTCAACACTGGAGGACTTGTTCATGATCACACTGCACAAGCCCACACAGTGTTTTCTGGAATTGTATTTAAAGAATAACTCTTCTTTCTTGTTCTTACTCCAGAGATTAATGAAAGTATTAAGCAAATGGGTAGGACATAATCTTTAAGCATAATAGTTTGACCTAATTAGTTGAATTCAGTCTTTGCAACAAAAATCATGTTCCCATACTCTGAGAGCACTCTTATTTAAAATGCCTTGCTTTTGGAATGAAAGTCAGAAGAGAGATGGGCATTCCTGGGTATGCCCTCTGTACTTTTGAAAGTCTTGTTTTCCTGGCTGTAAAGCAGAAAAATAGAACTGATTTTTTTAACTGCTTTGAGAGAAATAGCTAGAAACTTTATTTTAGCTGTGATGATTGAAGAGAGACAAGATCTGTGGGGAGGAGGGACATTTATGTAAGAATTCATTATTTCATATTTTAATGAAATATATGAAGAAGGGATGATCATTATATGCAAAAATACATAATGATTGCAAAAAATTGTCATGGTGATTATTAGATTCTATTGCATACTTTCCTTCCCAGTGTACTCCTGGTATTTTAACATTTGCTAGACTTTCATCTCATTCTACCTTTTGCAGACTTGATGAATTCAATCCATTTTCTCTCTAAAAGTTACCTTTTATAACAAGTTTTATTGTTTTGTAGAAAATTAATCAGCATTTCAAGACATACTTGAGTAGGAAATGTGCCAAATTACTCAAAATGTCTTTGTTAAAGTAAAGCCTTCACAATTTTATACTGACATAAAAGCCAAAAAAAAAATACAAAATAGTATCTGCCAAGAATTTGTCTGGCATTAAATAGGACATGGAATAAAGATTTCTGGTCCCCTGTTAGTAAACTTGCTTAAAAAATTTTAGCTATGGAGTCCAGATTTTCTTGCCAAATAGTTGACCCTGGCTGTTGTTTAGTCTAACCTATAAATGTGTTAGTATTTCTCATCTATTCTACAAGAATAATTAGTTCTTTTTTAAAAGAAAGTACATATCCAGCTACACATTTTTCTGTTAAGCAGAAAAGTGTGCTCTTTCTTCTGCCTCAGTGGGATCTGCTGTACCATGTACTGATTCAATGATCTGACTGGGTACTCAGTATTCATTTTTTTAACTTAATAACAGAGAGCACAAAAATAACTGTTAAAAACCATCTGTACCTGAGCAGATTGTCGTTTATGCAACAATTTGGAGTTTATTTGTATGTAATAATAAGTTCTTTAAGTGCTCCATATGGATTTTTGGGGTTTCAGAAGAGATGGGAGTGGACTGTCAGCAGGTAGCCTAAGGCTTTGAGTCTTGGCTTTTGACGTCATTATTAAGTCTGAAAAGGGGAAAATCTACTCATCCATTATTCCCCTGATTTTATCTCATCCCAGAACAGTGTAGCAGAACTAAACAAAGGTTGGGCGTTTTATAAACAACACGAAGTTTTGAGATAGTTCTTTAATAGTTTTTCACTATTAACAGGAGTGCAATGGGGGGAAAAAACAGTTCTCAATCTCTAAAAATTGTAGATCAGAGGCTGGAATGACTGAGCTCAAAAATTGCAAGAACCTCTTGCAAATGCTAATTAAACTATCTCCTTTTTTTCCTCTAATATGTATATAAAAAGGTGTATGTCCTTCTCAGCTTCCTGGCCCACTAGGTGCAGTAGCTTCACTGGCAACTTTTTGCCATTACACCAGCTCCAGGGCTGCCAAGTGCCCTGTTCCCAGCTGCACTGGCACCTCTCCATCCTGGAGCAGGAGCCTCATGATCCATGGCTTACCTGTGTCTCTGCAAGCTGCTGTAGTCAGTTCATTTCATTTGAAATGAAATCTTCCATCTGCTCTCACTGAGCGCAGGAAGAGTCGTAACACTTTTCAGTGTAAAGTCAAAAAGTGAGCGTAAGTAACAGATGATTGTGGGGACTAGAAGTTCTTACAGTCTCCTCTGGAAACAGTGACCAAGAAATGAGTGTTGGAAAGAAGATTCCTAAACAGTGAATCGGTGTCTCCTTATTTTGTCCAGCATAAATTGAGGAATTCTCCACCTTAAAGGACTAGGTTTATTCAGTAGATTAATTGAGGCTGATTTGCAAACCAAACTGTATCTGAGAGAGTGCATTTCCTATGCCACAAGAAGGGGCATTCAAGAGACTTCATGAAAAGGGAATTTCTAAATTGGCTTAGAATTTTTTAGAAATACTTGTACTGGTCAGCTCAGTGATAGCCCCTGTTACTTTGAAAATTATTCCTCTCTTCTGGAAGAACCTCTCCTTTGATTAATTTGCACATTTTCTTACTAGCAGCTGGCTCTTCAAGAATGTAGCCATTGCTTCGCCAGAGATGTTAGTTTCTGGTTCAGTACAACAACCTCATATACTCTATTAGCCCACATAAACTATTCCCAAAAGCTCGTGTTTTCTTGTAAAAGAAGTAACCTGCATGTAAAACATGTAGCTATTCCTTCTATTCATAAATAATGGACGATGCCTTATCTCCAGTGCAGTGCTGGCTCAGGCTGTAATTCACTTTTTGACCTTGCCCTCAGCTCCATACCCAGCGTACCCGAGTCACTGATTCAGTGTGAGGTTTTGGGGCCTGTCAGTTTGTCCATACTGCCTGTTTTAAATAGGACAGCAACAGGGATTGGGGTGCAGGCCAGTATTGGGTACATGTGGGTGATAATTTCCATTTGGATTAAGGTTATGCTGTTGGAGCTGTGGTTCAGTTTGTACTTCAGAGCGTTCCTGCAGCGTGTGAATAGCAGACTTTTGTGGTAAAACTAAAGGTGTTTCAGGACACTGCCTGATACACTCAGAGTAGTAGGCTGTAGTAGGCTGTTCACTCCAGGAACAGACCAATGTAGGTTAGTATGGGAAATCCCACAGCAGGTGTGCAGGTGGGTGCCAGGTCCTCCGCACCAACCCTTTCCCTGTACAGATCCCCTGTTGTTGTGGCTGCTTGGTGATGTAACTACAACCTTTAGCACACTGCCTGGCCTGTTAATCTGCTTGCAATCGCTTTGTTGCTTGAATTCTGTTGCTGTTATTTACAGTTCCCTGTGCAACTGCCCTCAGCTGAGATTAGCTGGCTTGTGCAGAGTAACTCCAGCTATTGGTGAAAGATAGCATCAGTTTACCTCTCTTATTGCATGAAATAAATGTGTGGAATCTTCCCTCAAGGTTTTCCTGACTTCTTGAGTTGTTAAATCACTTATTTCCATATTTGCTTATTTGTAATGTGCCTGCTTTAATCAGTGCAGTGGGACTTTCAGCACTGGGATGTATTTCACATTCACATCAGAGGAGAGCAAAGCCCAGCAGGATAACATCTAATTTTTTTAAACATAAGACATTTGGTTTTGCTAAACAGATTGGATGTTCTGATTTGAAATTATGAGTGGTTAGACGGCATCCTATCTTTAATTAGGTTGCACAGACTGAGTCATTTTGCAAGCTAGACATTTTAATTTACAATCTACTGCACTGCAGCACTCTTCGGGCCTTCTGCTGTGTAATAAGGTATTCAACTTGCAGCACAGGCTTTCAAAATACCGGAGTACTCTCTGTGACTTCACTTGTTTATTTTATGTTTTCAATTCTAGTTGCAAATCAAACATGCAGTTACAGAAGCTGAAATTCAGAAGCTGAAGACAAAGGTAAGAATCACTATGTGGTTAATACGTAATGTTTTTTTCTTCATGCAAAATCAGATCTGAAGGTGTATCTTTGTGTGGGTGGAGAAGTCACCATCCTTATTAAAGGCTGATTAAGAAGTGCAGTGGCTCAGCTAAATCTTGTCTTGGTGTATATTCTTTATTCCAAGTTTCGAGTAAAAATCTTAAGTGCTGCTATTAAAAGAAAGCACCAACTTTTGTAGCTTCAATTAAACATATGTTTTAAGGGGTATCATAAGAACTAAATGGCAGATTGCTAGTTTTAAAATTCTGATGCATTTTTTCAGGTTTTAAAATTATATTTGGATTGAATATTCAATTTGAAGTTAGTAGGTTTTTATTTACAAGTGATGTTAAAGTATCCCTGCACTGCTTTCCAATATTGACATTTTTAAAAAAACTGATTTGTTTAAAGGTATTTAATAGAAATTATTTTTATGTACAGGAAAAAAAGTGTTGTTTCGTATTGCTGTTCATATCTCTTTAAAAGATATTCTAGGAAGGAAAAATAGGATCAGTTTAAAAGAAAACATTATCTCACAATCAGTTGTTAGCTAATAAATTAAATTTGCTATAGTAATAAAAAAGAACTGTTTTTTTTTTTTTTTTTTTTTTTACTAGGGTAACCTTTATGGGAACCTAACTCATTATTCAGTTGTTCAGCAATACTAGGTTTTACAATGACATCCTTCTCTTTGAGTATATTATAAAGGAAATAAAAATAAGAAAAAGAGAAAATTGTACTTCAGGAAAAGATTTTAGATTATTATTTGTTTCCAGCAGCATTTGCACTCACTATTATTTTGTATTTTGCATAGTGTTTATCAAATCTGCATAAGTTACTGTTAAAAAAAATTCAGAGTACAACTGTTTTCTGTAAGGACAATTTCTGTTGTCCTGTTTCAGTCCAGAAAGTCAAAAGTATTTTCTTCCTTTGCTTTCCAGTTCCAGTCTAGCAATTGGAGCCATACAGTTGATGCCTTGGGTTTGTGCCAAGGCCCATTGACTTGATGGCATCAATGTGTGGGTGTAAACATTCCTCTGTGCAAATCCATTTGCAAAATTAGGGTTAATGTGCCTTTTAGTGTTGGACCTTTTTACCTCGTATTTTCAATAGAGCTGAAGAAAATGTGACTAATTTAGGTATATTACTAGTAAAACTGCAAACAAGTTGATTTTTTTTGGTGTATATCATCCATATTGCTGGCAGAAGTGCTTAGAGCAAATTAAGAACTCTTGATAAATAAATAGGGATGTTCAGGCATTTTTGTTTACTAAATTATAGGAGCTAAATCCCACAAGATACTGTATAACCCTACCCTAATCCAGCATCAAACACTGAAACCTGCAGATAGCTTCACTTAGCAAATGAGAACAGTAAAACAAAACAAAACAAAAAATCTGGAAATCAAATTGGAAATCAAATTCCCCCTTCCCAGAATAAGAAATGTCATCATTTTCTGAAAGTGTGTAAATGCTTTATAGCACCTGAGTCACATGCACAAAGCAAAATGCATCCCTTGTGCTGGCTGATTAACCCTGCAGTTCGTCTGGGTACTCCACTATTGACATTTTTAAATGTCAACCAGTCAAATAGGTTAGTATAACCCAGAGAGGCATAGAGGCTGCACTGGAACACTGAGCAAAATCTTGCTTGGTTCTATGAGAAAGAATAATACATGTATCAGCCTGTTTTCTTTGTTCTGGAACACTCTTCCCACTCCTGGCATATTGCTGTCGTAGTTACTGATGTACTGATCCTCTCTATTTGTGTTGTTTGAATTAATCCTGAACTATTAGGCTGCACTTTGCAGCTTTTTATGGACTGCTTCTCTACTCCTTTGTTCAGCTGCAGGCTGCTGAGAATGAGAAGGTGAGGTGGGAATTGGAGAAGACCCAACTCCAGCAGAACATTGAGGAGAATAAGGAAAGGATGATGAAATTAGAGAGTTATTGGATTGAGGCACAAACCCTGTGTCACACAGTGAATGAGCACCTCAAGGAGACGCAAAGCCAGTATCAGGCTCTGGAGAAGAAATATAACAAGGCAAAGAAATTAATCAAGGATTTTCAGCAAAAGTAAGCAGCTACACCAGGCTCAGCAAATGACTTAGTGGCCAGTTAGAAAACATGTATGTGATATATTTTTAAATATGAAAACCACTGTTAAACACCTGTAAGGTAAACACTATTTTCCACTTTTTTATTTATGAAAAGCATGGACTCCTTCTGTTATGGAAAAATGCTAGTATTCAAGCTGTAGTCATACTGTACCTAAATAAAGACCTAGTCTGTAATATTCCAGGTTGGTGTGTTTCAGAATTAGGAGATAGCTCGATGTAATTGCAAACAACTAAGAGTAATCACATTAAAGCATTTAATTAGCAAAGTCTGCAGCAATTTATATGGGTATTGTATCAGCTGGATTCATTCCTGCTGTGTACTAATGTAACATCAAAAAGAATATTGTTTTGTTACATTTTACATTTTATTTTTCTTCTTCTTGTAGATGCCAAGAATGTTTGAGCTGAGTTGAGCTAACTGATGATTTCACGGCCCCCTCTGTTTCATGTGGTCCCCTGTCCCTGGTGGCTAGCAAGAATAAAAACATCTTACGTGTCTATAACAGCTTCCATTCCCCAAATTACTTTTTTTTTTGCAGCAGCAGCAGCAGCAGCTTTTTTCATTTTCTGCTGAAATACACTTATTTAAAGAGGAAAACTCAAAGACACACAACAATGTCAAGTGATAATTGGGATTGCAGAAATGAATATCCTGTCCCATTAAAAAGGGGGTTAGATTATCAAAATATCATTACTATTTTGGAATTCCGTGACTCTTCCAAAACTAGTTTGTATCCTGTGTGCTTTCTATCACAAATTTCTTTGATATTCAAAATAAAAAGAGATAGGGCAAGTCACTAGAATGAGTTTGGATAGCTTTCCATTGACATTCTGCTTTATATTAGTAAAAGATCTAGTCAGTTGTTTTTAAATACTTCAGACTCCTTAACTGACGTAATGTATTTCCTACAGAAAATTCAGTTTGTACCTGCAGCCTTACAGGTTGTCTGTTCTGTGAAGGAGCACAGTCATACTCTAGCAAAATAGAGACTTTGCTCTATGTCCTACAACATAGAACAGCATAAACTAAGTGATGTTGGTTTTGCTGTAAACACAGATTAGGAAAATAAACCTGTTTAACTGTTTTGATTATTAGCAAGAACTGAGGTTTTTTTTTTTTTCAGATAAGTTGCTCTTGCCATTTTTATATTATTGCCTAGCATATTCACTTAGACTAATTGCTTAGGGTTTTGTCCTGATTGCAAGTTTCATAGTTCTTACTGAGTAAGTGATAAATTATTTGGTAAGGACAGATTTTTCTGATGAGTAGCAAAACTTTTTTTTTTTTCACTCTGATTGCTTTGATGACAGCAAATACATCTTTTTTTTTTCCCCTAAGAGAACTTGACTTCATCAAACGCCAGGAAGCTGAACGAAAGAAAATAGAAGATTTGGAGAAAGCACACCTTGTAGAGGTTCAAGGCTTACAGGCTCGTGTGAGTAGTATTTACTCTTCTTTATGAAGAATTAGACAATTCTGTGTGATATTCTGGAAAAACAGCATCTCTAATGGGGAGGATACATTGGGGTGAATATCGTGGGTAATACTGTGTTATATTTCTTTCAGATACAAGACTTGGAAGCAGAAGTTTTCAGGCTAATGAAGCAAAATGGAAGCCAGGTTAACAATAACAACAACATTTTTGAAAGGCAGACATCTTTTGGAGAAGTTTCTAGAGGAGATCCAGTGGAAAATCTAGATACTAAGCAAGTGACCTGCCTGGATGGCTTAAGTCAAGGTTTGTTTGAACCAAAGCATAACTCCTATGAATCATAGACTCATAGAATGGTTTGGGTTGGAAGTACCTTCAAGATCATGTAGTTCCAGCCCCCCTGCCATGGGCAGGGTCACCTTTCACTAGACCAGGTTGCTCAAAGCTGCCTCCCAACCTGACCTTGAACACTTCCATGGATGGGGCAGCCACAGCTTCTCTGGACAACCTGTTCCAGTGCCTCACCACCCTCGCAGTAAAGAACTCCTTCCACATATCTAACCTGAATGTCCCTTCTTTCAGTGTGAATCATTACTGCTTGTCACTACAGTCCTGACAAAGAGTCCCTCTCTGGCTTCCCTGTATGCCCCTGCAGATGCTGGAAGGTTGCTATGAGGTCTCTGCACAACCTTCTCTTTTCCAGGCTGAACAGCCCCAACTTTCTCAGCCTGTCTCCATGGGGAGGTGCTCCAGTCCCCTTGTCAACATCATGGTCTTCCTCTGGACTTGGTCCAACAGTCCCATGTCCTTCTTAGGCTGGGAGTCCCAGAGCTGAATGCAGTATTCCAGGTGGGGTCTCATGAGAGCAGAGGGGCAGAATCACCTCCTTTGAGGTGGCATCCTCCTTTTCATGCAGCCCAGGATGCCTAGAAACTGTAATATTATTTATTTCTCTGTTGAAAAATAAAAAAAAAAAAAAAAGCAATACATTATGAAATAAATTAATTTCTAGCAAGCAGAGGTGTTTTATTAAAATTGATATTTTACCAGTCATTTCATGTGTGGACCCCAACAATACTGCCTTACAAACAAATCAATATGACTTACATTTTTAACAAGTTACATGTATAACAAAGATCTAGTCCTGCTGAAATGGTATTAGATGATATGCAGATCTTGTGCAGTTGGTTTGTACAAATCTTCAGAGACCTGTTTTTTCTGTCAAGTGTTAATCTTAATGAAATCTCTGAAGTTCTAAAAAGCACCCAGGATGACAAGAAATTCTGTATTTCTGCCATAGAGACTCAGTAATTGTTATAAAACATTTAATACTTAGCAGTGCTGTTAACACAGATCCTTTCAGTAGTTTGTTTCAGGAGAAGAAATTATGTTTTCTTCACTTGACTCAGAAAAATGATGCTTACATGTACTATTGTAACAATGTCAACACACATCTATGGCTCAAAAGCTAAAATTTCCAGGAATTTCTACATGTAAAAAAAAAAAAAAAGAAAAATTTTATAATTAATTCTAAAAAGTTGGAAGTTCTTAATATAGTATTAAAAATCTACATGTCAGTGCTTCAAAATTATGTTTTTTATTAGATATCCATGCATTTGCATAAAAATTTTCAAAGAGCTGCCTTTTTTCACTTTTCACTTTGAAAGTGTTTTCCTGGAGAAATGTTGCCAGTGTTAATTATTTCTGAGTGTTAGACTAGATGACCTCTGAATTTAAACACCCAAGGTTAACCACATGAATACAAACACAGATTATTTGCTAGGAAAAATTGGTAATCGGCAGTGATTTTTTGAAAGCAGAAGCTGCATAGTTAGACCTTAGATTCTGGGCTGCATTTGTCGTTTTAACAAGTGGAAAAAAACTTCATTTTTAAAAATAAGTATATCTTTAAATATACTGCGTCACTCTTTGACTTCCATATACCTTTTCCAGTAAATTCTGTGTCAGTTTCTGAGGTTTGTATCCGACTCTTAACATAGTGATACTTGCTCTGCAAAGAGCCTACATCTCTGTATCGCTCTTGTTTGAACCTTTTAAGAAAAGAACTTGCCATCAACCCATGTGTGTTTGCAGAGGAGCTATGAAGGGCAGGGGAGTTGTCCATGATGGACAGCTGGAGGTGAGTAGAGTCTCTCTGGTGCTGTGGGTTGTGCACACTGCCTTTGTGACATTCACACAGGTGCTCCAGTCTCTTTTCTGGCTCATGTTTGGCCAGTATAACACATGCTTCTTGATCAAGCCTCTGCATTGGGTTCCTGGGTAGGACTGCATGTAGACAGCCACATCCCGGAATTTTCTCCAGAGGTCTGCAGGTCTGTTTTCCATCAAAAAATTAGGGTATGTAAAAATACAATATTTTAATTAGATTTGTATCAAGGATGTTTTTGTGTCAGTGTGATCTGAGGTGTTTATTACATTCTTGCATGGTTGGGGACTTGGGAAGGAGCAGTGGATGCAGCCCGATGGTTGCAGACATTTGAGTATAACTGTTCCTGACGCTCCAGTGCTCTGGTTCAGCATCCTGCCAAGACTGCACAACTCCTCAGGCTGTAACATAACCTCACACTGAGCTTAAGGGGCTGCCAGTAACATTAGTGGAAGTCAAAAAGAGAAAATCAAAACTAGCATGGCCCACATAATTCTTCCTTTGCTTTGCCAGGGAACACTAGACTTTGGATTGCATTTCCTTTACAAATACATGGTTTATTCTGAGAGTCCAGCAGTGCATTGTAGCCTTCTGGTTAAGTGATCGTGAGCTGTGTCTGCAGTAGACAATCAGGCTCTTTACTGGCAGGAGCCAGTGGTTTGAAATCTAAACAGCTCAGTGCTGAGGCCAGCTTTGACAGTCTCAGACTTTGACATCTCTGTGCAAGTTCCTGTTCAGCCACTTTGCGTTTCTGCTTTCTGGGTGTCTTTGGATACCCAGGGATGCGTCAGTTCACAGAAGGAGATTTTAAATTCTGTTAGCTTATCTAATGGAAAAACAGTGGGAGTACAGGCGAGCTCTTTCCTACTTCCCAGTGGTACTGAAATAGTTCAGATGGAAGAACGTTGGAGTCAAGTGGTTGAACGTCTGGTGAAAGAAAGTCTCATTACATTGACTCTGAGAGTGAAATAAGAACTATTATGGCTTGTATGTGAGAGATTTTCCAGACACCCCAGTGGGTTGAGAGATTACTGCAGCATCATGTGAGGTTGTGGGTTTGTGCTGGGAGCTGTGAGGGCCAGCCACTCTCTGCAGAAGAGGGAGCTGGGACTGGGGGTGGCAGCGCGTGTGCCTGGGGCAGAGACCATCTGACAGCAGCCCAGTTCCACTGCAGCAAAGCAGGGCAAGGTGGGGTGTAGGAAGCTCCAGGCCCAGATGGTCTTCTGCTTTAAGAAGGCCCACATGAGCACTTCTGTAAATACCATTTGCAATCCTATGTTTATAGTTTCCATAATTTCAGCAGGGAAACAAAGGGATGTACAAGTCTGTACACCTGAAAGAACAAATACAAGCAGTTCAAGCTATGACCATGTGTAGTTTTTCTGTGGAGTACTTAGGGCAGAAGCATCATTGCAAATCAGACAATGCTAATTATTCTGGAGTATCATGTGAAGTAAAATCTAACTCTAATACATAGAAGAAGAGCAAAAATATCTGTAAGACCAGATTTTAATTCATTAGTGTATTCTGAATGCAGTATACAGGCAAGTAAATGAATCTAATGGATTATGGTTTGGTCTTTACTGTGAGGGTTGAAAATAAATTGTTAAACCGTAAAAATCTATTCTTTTTCTAGTACAAAATACAAAAGCACCTTTTAAAATATTTTTAGTCTTAGTCACTGCAGCTTTGAAAAATGTTAAATTTGTTGCAATACTCAGATTTCATTTGAGTGCATGGTTGACAGCTAAGACAGGTACAGCTATATTAGTTTTAGCTGTAGAGGCAAGTCATATATGAAGTGTTCACATACTCTGCTCACGAGACATTCAGGAATCAGGTGTCTTTGAAGCCAGGCAAGTAAGATGGTCATTGTTCATTTTTTATGTTAAATACTTCAGTTTTCATGTAACACACAATGATGTTTATGCCCTGGTGGAGAACTCTCTGCAGGCCAAGCACATGCAGCTCCCTCTGAGAGAGTCTAAGTGGATCTACTTTCAGGGCTGGTACAGCTGGGTTTGTGTGCTCATCTGTGTAGCAGTGGGAATACTTCATTGAATTCTTAAATATCTGCAGTTGGTTCTTTGCTATGCCCTTAATGAATCTGTACAGGTAAACTTGTTTATGCAAATAACTTTTTCTGGGGGTACTGTAGGAGTTACAAAGGTACAGGTACAAGTAAAATGTGTATTTTCTAACCTAAATTACTCTATGATTCTATGCAAAGTGCATGCACTTGCAGTTGTTTGTACAATTCCTTTTGTTAGGAAAAAGTAATGAAAGATACTTCTGTTAGACAGTTTCAAATCTTGATTCCATACAGATTTCAATGAAGCAGTTCCAGAAACAGAGAGACTGGACTCCAAGGCACTGAAGACTCGAGCTCAGCTCTCGGTGAAGAACAAGCGGCAGAGGCCGTCCAGAACGCGGCTCTATGACAGCATCAGTTCAACTGATGGGGAGGACAGCCTGGAGCGAAAGGTGAGAAGGACTCTACCCTCTCTTTCCAGCTTCCTGTGGAGTGCTAGATTGCCCCTGTAAGTCATTTCATCCTCTGTCTTTATCCTTTTGTTGTAGCACAGGCAGTATTTATTCCTCTGTGGCCGGTCTGCTGTGAATGTACTTGAGTGATGTGCAAGTCCAGTCTCCTTTTGAGTCAGCACACCTGTTTTTTGGTTCTGTTGTGTTTTAACTGGAATCCTGGTCTTTTTGATTTACATGTGCTTTATAATGCAGAGTGGGTCTTTTCATTTATGCAGGAGGTGAAGGGAGCTTGAATTGTGCGTTTTTTCTATTTGTTAATTTGTTACTACAATTGATACAATATTTGCTCATTGTTTTGTCCTATTCTGACTTCATCTGAAAGCACATACCAATAAGCAACACTGTGTTGTACCAATAAACAACATCAAAGGGTAATGCCTTGAACTGCTACAGCATTTCGTACAAATAGAAAGCTAAATAATGAATAAAAGAATTGCATGTTCAAAGTAAATCTTGCTCTGTTTGCTTACTAAGTGGTATAACCTGCTTTATAATCTCTTATACCAACAGCCATCACACAGTTACAGTAGTCCCATGCACATTTCAAAATCACCACTGCCTTTATGCATGAGAGCATCCTCACCAGCATCAGATTCTGGTGCTTCCTCCCTCTCCCCCGTGGCTAGCAGTGCAGCAATCTCACTTGACAACCTAACTGAAAACCAAGAAGAAGAACAGCACCACAAAGGAGGTGTCCTTTCCCCATATGCTCGGGGAGACACTCCACTTTCCTCTCCTTCAAAATCTGGGCACAGCTCTGAAGCATCTCCTTTGCATCACCCAGCTGGCAGGAATATTTTACAGGATAAAGGTATTACTGTTTCTTTTACAATAAATTGATGCATCATTTTGCTCACTTAACAGCTGTCTACTTTATTACCTTTTGTTGTGCAGTGGTACCTTAGCAACTAGAGGGTCATCATCTTGTAATTTATTTTGCCTGCCTGGAAGTCAAAAACTTTAAAATGGTATGAGAAAAGGACAAAGTTTAAAATGGGATAGGGAACTGCTTACTTTCTTTTTTTCAGGCTTTCTTGGAACTCATTGAAAAAAAACGGGGAAATTGCCCTTAAGAAAATGTTGTATTGTGGTTTTTTTTTAAAAAAAACATTATTTGACCTTGGGTCACCTCCATATTACAAACATGCTTAACACAGTGTACTTTCTCAAATAATGTGATTTTGGCACTGCTAGATGTTTTTTTTTGGAGGGTGTGGAAAGGAGTGTAAAGCAAGAACAGCAGATTGTAGCTTTTAATTGCTGAGAGGAAGCAAAGTCTAGGTTTAATGACAGGTTAATGGAGATTTTTCATTTACAGAAAAAATAATTTCTGGGTGAGATTGGCCTCATTGTTGCTAATTTGATTCAGACTCTTGAAAGGCTAGATGGATAAAACAGGATACAATCATATGTAGCTCAGGTGTATGTCTCAGATGCCAGTTGATTATAAGAATTAACAATATGATATGTTGCAAAACACTGAGCTGTCCTTTTCAGATGCATTTCAAAGTCAGAATTAACATTTGACACCACTTCAGCATTCTTAGCAATGCACCTTGCATTCTGAAACTATCACATAAGTTAAAATACATAATAAAAAATTCTTCATAAGTGAGGTCTGCAGGACTAGGTCTAGAGAGGTTTATAACAGATTTTGGCTTGCTTGAATTGACTGAAAAGAGCAATTTTTTGAAGATTTATGTTTGTGTGTCTGACTTGCTACTGATTTAAACCCTATTTCTTTTTCATCTTTATGTAGGACTTTCACACAGGTTTATGAAAGACAGCATTATGAAACTTTACTGAATTTAGGAGAGGTTAATCTATTGCAAGCATTTTTACATGAGTTCTGAAATTTCTAGTTGTAACTAGGTTAAATTGTTAAGGATTCCAAGTTAAATTCAATATTTGAATTTTGCAAGTAAAAATAAGGGTGTGAACATAAGATTGTGACTTTAGAAGCTCAGCTTGAATGTGTGATTGATTTGTCAGGAAAGTTCTAAATCCTTCACTTCCAGCTGATGTATGAAAAATACCTTGATAAAAAATTAGTGGAAACTAACCTTGTAGTGCAAGGAATAGGGCATTGCATTCCACCCACTGTGTCACACTTTCCATTTTAGGTTTGAAAACAATCTCTGTCTAAATATTGCTGTCATGCTTTCCTCATTGTGACTGTTAAGTAAACAACCAATGCTTTTGGGTGTGCCCAGGTTCTGCTGAGTAATACATTAGAATTAACCAGAGAAATATAATTTCAAGTAGAAAAAATCATATTTAGTAAGTCCTATTAAAAAATGAAACAAGTTATTTGGCAACAAGTGTTGCAGCAGTGCTATTTTAAATGATTGTTAATTTGGCTGTTAAACTCACATCTCAGAAAATAAAAAAAAGACATTGCATTTGTGTGTTCAGGTGGGGTATTTTAGAGATGAAAAGAGAGCACCTCTGTGGACACACACATGGCCATGGGTTAGTCTTTCAATACCAGAGGTGAGCATTAGCAAGCTCACATTTGTGTTTTCTTCTTTTTCTTACAAGATCCTGCTGTTGTGGGAACGGCAGAAGTGGCATGAGATTAGTTTCATTGCAAAATTATGAGCTTAGAACCACAGTTTTTTCATGTGTATGTGATGAGTTTATTTTCTTCAGTTCTGCCTGGTTTGTGCAACAGCATCATCCTTTGATCAGGAGGCAGCGGGGTGACGGCGGTGGGCAGTGCTCGCTGACGCGAGGCTGCTGCAGGTGCTGTGTGCCCGTGGGCAGGGGACTGAGCTCTGGTGTCTTCCACATCCATCAGCCACACATCACTGCAGCTTTCAGCTGGAGGTGATGGATTAAACAGCTTCTGTGTGATTTATTCTGAGAAACCAGCTTTCCCTTACCTTCTCTGAAGAACTTCATGGAGCTGGGGAAGACGCACCTGACCAGGGTGGCCAAAGTCCCGTCCTGCCCGGTCAGGGCGCCTGTGCCTCTGGTGCTTGATGCCTGCCATGTGCAAGCATTGAGTAATTCCTGCATGCAAGACCCTGTCGGTTCAGATCCACACTGCCACTGCAGCTGGTTTTGGGACCTAGCCTATCTGTGCTCCACTATGTCCCATAGCCAGCAAAAATATTTTCCTCAGCAAGTCATCATTATTTAAAGGGCCCTGGCTGGCCCCAGCTGTGTGGGAGGGGGATCGTAGGGATATAAGAGCTTGAACAGAAATTTGCCATTCCAAGTAGCTGCTGTGTATTCCAGCTAAGGTCTCCAGGCTTTTTCTTTCTACTACAGCAGCAAAACATCCATGTACTAAATGCTTTAATTATTTGCCCAACACAAAACCGCTGTACTTTATAATTTCTCGACTTTCAGTAAGAAATTTCTCTGAAAACCCACTACCCCTTGCCCTGAATGCCACTTTCCCCACTTGCTTGTGAATAGCTAGCATGAAAATAATTGTTGCCAGTTTTAATTCTTGTGACAATTTTGGCAGTGGTTAAATGAGAAGTATGCATTAAAGGTGAAAGAGAAACTGTTGGAGGAAATAGGAAAGAAGTGTGCACAGTGTAAGGTTGATGTAGAGTGTGCCTTGCCTAAAGTTCTCCTCTACCTCCTTGGGGAATGGATTTCTTCTTCGGAGACTTGAGCTTGCTTTTGGCATTCTTTGTATTACTTTCTTTTGTTTTCTTTTTTGGAATGAGGTTGCTTGTTAGGTGTTCTTGAAATTTAATTTTTTTAACATAAGGACTTGTGTTGGTGGAAATAGTATGGCTTTTAGTGTGGGTATTGCAAAAGGCTTATTTTCCTACTGTTCAGAGGATTTAACAAATTAATTGCACATTAATTTTTTTGCTCAAATGAAAACTAGGGCAGATATTATCTACAAAAGCAACACACAAAGTTCTGTACACATAGTTGGCTGTTCTGTGATAGTGCTGTGGTGCTTGGGGTTAATTTTGAGGGCTCAATTTAAGTCAGCAACACTAGGAGAAATCCACAAACCCAGCAGTGCTTCCAGTTAAAAGCTGTGTGTGTCTGAGGTCACATTGCAAAAGCCACCAAACCACAACTGACATGAATGACTGACCTTCATTTGCTTCCTCTAGGGTATTTGGGAGCACTCTTTATGTTTAAGAGTCACAGTGTCTGAATTTTTAAACACACAGTAGTGTGTTTTCTTTTAGTTTCTGTATAGATTTCACAGGATGTTTGCCAGACTCAGGTTCATTGTTTTGGCTTTATAGGTACTGCAGCCTGTTTCCTCTTTAGGATTTAATAACATTGGTAGAAGAGATCAAAAATTGATAGATGCCTCAAGGCAAATTTATTGACTAAGCTACATTTAGCTTTTGGGGGGTGGAGGAGGTCGTTGTTTGTTTTTTAATTCAGAATGGTTAGATTTTAGGTTACATGTTCAGTTTAACAGAGATGTTTGGGCTAAACTGATTAACTGTTTCATAGCATGTCCATCATAAAAGGTACCCTGGGCTCCAAAATTGAAAAAAGAATTTTAGGAGTAATTTTGGAAGTAAAGCATACATACCAAATGAATTCTGTAAAAAATAAACTTAAACAAACTACTGCTGAGTTTAAAACTAGATTCACTGGAATGTTTGCCTACAAATACTTTCTGTTGTTCAATTTATTACATAGTCATTAAAACTGAATCAATATAAACTTTTGGTTTTCTTTAATTAAAATGTTTGTGTATTTTTGAATTCTGACATTACTTATTTTTATTCCTGTTCACACCATCTTCCTAAAAATGAGAATTCCCCTAATTAAATTGTGTACTCACACACGTGTACATGTATGGGTATCTAATTATGAAAAGATACACAAAGTATTCTGGATGGAAAGTACCAATTAAAATTAATAATATACATTCTTCCATGTACAAATGTATCCTAGATGGTGCCACAAGTGCTCAGGCAGCAAGAACAGCTAGCCCTACTATAGGGCATACAGAAAAACTAAAGAGAAAACTTGCAGATCTTGGGTAAGCTTTTTTTTTTTTTATTTAACATACATCTTCTTCTTCATTAAAAGGATTGAAAGTAAAATTTCTAAGATGTTTCGTGACGTTTTCTAATATTCTTACAGGGCTCCCTTGAGAAGGAGTTCAAGCAAGGGCAAGAAGCGGAAGGAGAAAGAAGCTGTTAGGGTGGCCTGTGGCAGTAGGTATGGCTGAGAGACTGGGGATGTGAGAAATTGTGTGCCAGAAACATTGGAAAAACCTAATCATCCTAGCAGATGGAATATTAACAGTCCCACTGACTTCATAAATAAGTGTTAAGCTTTGAGATAACCTGACCCTAGATTCCTTGGCTCACAAAAGACTGACATATAATCTAAAGATACTTGGAGGTTTATAATGTCATAGAATCATAACATTTCTCAAGCTGGAAGTGACTTGCAAGAATCATCAAATCCAAGTGCTGCTGTTGCATCCACTAATTGGATTTGCAGAAATGGATTTTCAGAGCAGCCCTTCAAGATGCACCCAGTCAGTTAATAATGTCCATGAACCAGAAACCTTGGCACAATTCCACTTTTTTTTTAAGCCCCCCAAGTGAGGTTGAGCAGCACCTGTTCCCTGCAGCTTTGCAGCACCCACACTAAGAATGCTTTTAGAAAGGTTTTTTTTCTGAAGATAAACATCTTAAGTGGAAAAATAGAAAAAATGCTGACTGCATGTCACTGCATGTCAACAACTTTCAGACAAGGAATTGTGAATTCCTTGTGAGATCTAATGAGACAATATCACCAGCATCAGAATTCTGAATAAATAAATGAATGTTGACAATGACAGGAGGCAATATCTGCAAAAGCTAGTGTAGATTTTTAGTGAAGGCCTCTCCTTACATACCTATGAGTCTGACAAGATCACAGCATGATACCTGGTTCCAGGTATGAAAGACAAAGTCAGGAGGGCTAAGCAAACTTAACATGTTCCAAAAGTCTAGAAAGAACTCAAAAAACTAGCAACTCAAAAACTCTGCACATAAAACAGTGCACAAAAACCTACATGATAAAAGAGCTGTTGGAAGAAAGCAGAGTTTGATTGCTATTCAAAAAAACATTGTGGTGGAAAATCGGTGTGTAGCCATTTGTGCAGTTCTACTGACAGTCTGGTGTATGGAGAGCCAGTGACAAGTACATTGTATAGCTCCATAAAATCAGAAAAGCAAAAGAAACCTTCCTTAGTCCCTCAGGCACACTGTGCTGAAGTGCAGTGTTCTGTCTCAGCATACATTTGTACATCTTCAGTGATCTTAGGCAGCAGTCACCACCTCTCTGCTGGTGTCAGAAAACCTGTCCCAGTGCGTCTGCTCGCAGCTGACATGGAGTCAGTGAAACTCACTGCTGGGTTTCCCTCCTGACAGGGAGAGCTTTCTTAAAGCCAAGTCTCTGCACTTTATGTGGCTGTGAGGCAGCTATTGCCCTTAGCAGGGTGTTAGACATTATGCAGCATTTAGATACCAAGCCACAGGGTGGGGGAACTGAACATGTACTTGTTTGTAAGACCTTGAATGAATGACCCTTATGCCAACACAGGATGTTGCAGATGTTTGTGAGATCTCACAGGTGTCTTCCTTAGAGAGAGCAGATCTCAGTGTAGAGAGTTTGTTGGTCCATGTGATAAATCAGTTCTTTGTGTTGTTTTTTAATATTTCTTTAATACAGTTCAATATCCCAATTACATTTGCTAAAAGCAGAGTTTAATACTGCTTTCAAAGTTGATATTTTTGAGCATTTGTCATTCTTACTTGACCTGTAACTGTTTCAGCATAACTTTTTGAACAGACATTGCCACTTCTTTTGTTACTGGCTCCAAAGCTTTTGCCTCCCAAGAAATGTGAGAATGTTCTGTCTACAAGTCCAAAGCTGTATAAGCTCTTTGAAAGAAGGAAGATGAGGCAAAGACATCATCCTGTTGTAATTATGTCCATTACAGCAACTGATAGATGTAGAATTAGTCATGTTGTCTGATGAGTGTTGCATGCATTATTTTGCCATTTCCAGAAAGCAGCACTGAGAATGTGTAAATAAAATCCCAAGTTATTTTCTGAAACTACCACTAATGCTACAGATATGGAAAAATACCCCATTTAAGTAAGGAACATGTATTTCCCTGCCTGAAGTTGCGTGATTTGGGCAACAACATTTGTGTTGACTTTATATGTTCAAGCAAGATAAGATGATGAGAGGGAAGTAAAGGACTGGGTTAGATGTATCCACCTTTCTTTTAGTTGCTAAATGCTGAAAAGGATTGTCCTTCTGCTTCCATAGGCAGGGGTCCTTTGACAGCCTCACTTTCATCCATACAGAAAAGAGGTTTCACAAAATATGTCGTCTATTATTATGTTAATGATGGTTTAGAAGCTGTCCAGAAAGTAGATGTTGAAGTAGATGTACCTACCCCCCATTTACACATGGCTGCTAAGAGCAGTGGGATTTTAATGCTCCGAATAATACATGTGTTGATGTAAATAATATGGTTCTATGACATATGCATAAATTCTTGGAGGCAGACACTTTGCATAATTATTTTTAATTTACGTACTGTACTAATGAGATATATATATATTCCTTATATATAAGGAGATAAAATTTAGGCATAACATTATAGGCATAATTTTGACATTACCTTTGACTTGATTACTGCAATCTTTGTTATTACAAAGAGAGAATCTGATTAAGTCCCATAGGTGTTTCTTTCATTTTTCTCCATCAATATTCTTAATATTTAATTAATTTCAAAGCAAGATAATAGTACTTCATGTGTTACAACTTCAGCTGTTGTAACAAAGGAACATCTGACTCATTCTGCCTGTGCTCAAAATCCAAGTCAGATCTTCTCTGGGAACCAGGGCCCACTTGGGTCAGTGCTGCGTCTAATGATTTAATCATGCTGAGACACCACTGGGGCTCAGAAATGCACAAACACAACGTGTGGCTTCTTGACAGGAGCTGGTTCTCATCCGAACAGTGGGAGTATAAGCATTTTCAGCTGGCATCTCTCTCCATTTGCTGGGTGTGCGTTGTCTTAAGAAAGCTTCAGTTAGAAAAAAGAATCAAAAGAACATGCTTTTTTTCTTCTGCTGGAAGAGATATTTCAGGCATGCCCCTACCAGCTGCGTGCCACTCAGTTCTTTAGTCACAGCTACAGGGAATGTCACTCTTTGCAATTAACTGCCTCTGTGGCATTTTGTTTCCCCTTCTTTTACAATCTAATGCATATTCCTGCTCCTTTCTCTCAAACAGGGCTGTCAGAGAGATGCTGCAGAAACCAGCAAACAGTAAATCTTTAGCAGAGCGATCCTCCTCTCTCCCACACTGTGTACCACTCACATGGTATGGAGAGAGCGGCAAGGGATCCAACTCTTCCAGCAACCTGCCGTCGCCTACCAGCTCAACCGAACCTTCCTCTGAAAATTTAAGCCCAGCTAAAAAAGGGTCAAAGGTAGAAAATAAAAACTACCTTATTCCCACTGTGTTGAGTAGCATAATTGGCTTTGTGATTCTGGAAAGAAGAACAGGCCAATATGTGACTACTGCAATAAACAGTGCATGGTGTTCATTGTACGGTAGCAGCCCATCCAAACAGAACATCTCTGTCATTGTACCATTCCCTGTTCTACCTTTTTTACTCTGTCTTAATGTACATTATTTCAGTAAACTAACTGTGGTGTGCTGTACCGTAACAAAAGCAAGTGGTGCCAGTGGAAATTAGCATTTGGATCCACTGAACAAATGCTAGATTTGTGTATTCAGTTATAGATCTTCTCTTCATTCTTCAGGACTGGTAGTGGGAATACCCATGTTCAAATGAGGTGTTTGCAAGTGAAGAAATGCTGTATGCTGTCATCTGCCTTTTTTCCCCAGTAATGAAATCTGTTTGTCATGCATGCTGGATGTTGGATTTAATTCTCTGTATGAAGATGCTTGAACTGTAAATATGAAATATTGCAATTTAATACATCTGTGTGATTCCTTTCTATGTGCATGAATGTTTCAGCATGACAATTCCTTAAATAACCCTTATTTATAGTATTATACTTAGCTTTCTTATGTTTGCTTTCACTTCTGGAAAATATTTCTTTGCCTGTAAATTCTTATGACTTACAGCAGCTGACTTTTTCTATTTGTCTGGTAAGAAGAAGCAGATATGGTTCTCAACTTTGTATAGGAATATGAATCAGAAATCTCATTTCTCTGTCTTCTACCACTAAGTGCATGTTCATAATAGCAGTTTCCACGGGCATTTTGTACTTTTTTGATGCCAAAAGCTGTTGATGCATTGCTTCTGCTGTGCTCTTGGCTATGCAAGGTCATACCTGTTCTTACATTACCTGGCAGGGAGAGCAACACAAGGCTTGCAGTAGTCCAAATCAGATAGATAAAACAGACCATCAGTGAAATCTCTGAACAGAAATTATTTGCTTACCTCTTCTCTTTTAGGGAAAAAAAAAATTTAGACCCATAAATCCTATTTATGTATTTAAGCAAACATTGTTTAAAAATAGTTTTCAAATGGGGGAAAAAGCACTTTTAGTGCTTTTATACTTTTTAGTGCTTATACTTTTAGATAGTATTAGGTTGAGGTTGTGGGGGCTATCCTAATTATTACCCGGCCTTGGCTATGTTGTGGTTTTGCTGTAGAAAATTAAATTTGAAAAGCTTAAAATCATTGTAAAGCTAAAGCTTGCAGAAAATAGAGGTGAAAGAAAAATCAGAGTACTTAGAAAAATATGTTTTTCACACAACAGGAGGTAGAGCTGTTGAACTCCTGGCCTAAGAACGCTGTGTGGGCTAAGGAAGCAGCTAAGGAAGGTGCTCAGATTTTCTTCTCCTCTATAAAGAGCTGGGAAAAACAGAACAGGAATTCTAAATGTAGGTGAGAGAAAAATGATCACAAAAATATTCTTATGTTCTCTGTGAAGTTCACAGGCTCTTAAGAGTTTCTGTACTGCTATTGAGGCTTTCAAAGCATAGCATGACACCAATATTTAGTTGGATTTCCAGCAAAACTAAGAGGACCAACATTTGATATTTTTGGAAGTCTTCCTGTTTTCAGGAAAGGCAGGTCAAGTATTTGAGGGGAGCAGATAGAAGGATAACTTTTTTTGTGTTGTTTCTCTTGTTTTATTTTTTTCTAAAGTGAAGGTCAAAGATGAATTGGATTCAATACTCATTTAGATGTTAGAGAATAGAGGTCTCTGTATTGTCAAGTGTGTATTCAAGTTAAATGGAATATCATGGTGTCCTTAATCTTTTATATTTTTTGGGTTTTTTTCATTGTTCTCTCTCTAGTGTGAAATACTTGTTAATTTTTGTCTTATTCTAATGGCAATTTTGTTGTATTCCTGAAAAATATGTGCCTGCTTTTGCTATTATTTGCTGTAAGATGTGATGTGTCTCATTGCATTGTTAAGAAAAAACAGAGTTTGTTTTATGACTATTAGTTCAGTAAATAATACTATCCAAAGGTAATTTTACTTTCAGTTTCAGTTTTTTTCTAAAGACTTAGGCAAAGAGGGAGGATCCTTTCACTTTTCAAGGAGATTATTTGGGACTCAGAAGTGGATTCACATCATATTCTCCTTGCTCTTTCAATAGGAGTTTTCACTTCTCTCTGTTCATTAATTCTCTGTTCTATTCTTTGTGCTACTGCCTGTGCTACGCTTCTCCTAAGTATTTGTCGGACAGCAAATGCTAGTGATTAACCTGCAGAAGCAGTAATTTAGCTCCAGGATGAGAGCCAGCATCTTAAGAGTCTGGAAATTGCTTTTAGACACCTTTGTTATTCATTGAGGCATTAAGCTGGCGAAGGTGTCTCCTGAAGCAGAGAGTGGTAAAAATACTGTGCATCCTGTAAATAGTAAAGACTATAAAACATTAGGCTTCCTCATGTATATTGTGATTGGTTTGGTAAATGATTGAAATCACTCCTGACCTATGCCAACATGGAAGACAGAAAGCAAATTTCCCTTTTAGATGCATCTAAACAATAATTTGTTCATTCTTACTCCTCTTTTTCTCCACAGAATTTCACATTCAATGATGATTTCAGTCCCAGCAGCACAAGTTCAGCTGATTTGAGTGGTTTAGGAGCAGAACCTAAAACACCAGGCTTCTCACACTCCTTAGCACTGTCATCAGATGAGGTATGCAGATGAAATTGTTTAACTTGGGAAAAAGTTGTTTTCTTTTTCCTATGGAATCTCGCTTGATTACTCAAATAATAAAGGAATGGTTTTAGGCAGTAGGATTGGAGACAGAAATTAATCTTGGTTTCTAAATTAAGATTTTTCTTGTTCATATAATAAAAACTTAAAATAATGCCCTGTGGTACTATCGTGGGGAAGTGGAATGCTGTTCGTGTCCTAAGAGATGCTGTATCCTCACATCTGCTAATACATTTTTTCTATCCACATATGGACATAGATAGAGATATACATATAAATACACTAAACTAGGCCTGGGACAGTTTTGATATACCAAACATAGATTACAGTTTGGTAAATGTAGTTGAGATGTAAGGCACCTTCACCTACCCCAGTTTTTACCCTGGTAGAATGACCTGTACATGCAGTAATTGTGTGTTACTGTACCTGAATGTGTGTGTATTGATTATAACGTGTATGTCTTGATCCACTTTGCATTCTTTGTGCTTGCTTTGCACAGTGGATTTGAAATCAACTACTCCAAACCAGAGTTTTTTTCATACAATGATAAAGTAAAAAGGCATTCCTAACCCTGTAAATTGGTGACATATTTGAGCTGAATATAATATATTGAAAATACTCTTCTTAATATACTAGTTTTGTAACTCATTAGTGGGTAAAGTTGTATGATTTCATAGTGGCTGACAGCACATCCTGTGGAGTCAGGAAACTTGTGCATTTGTTCTTTTACAAACACTCCATAAGCACATTTTTCATGTGAGATGTGAGCCAAATTGGTTTTACTAGAGAGGGAGAACTTGAAGTATCTATACCTTCTGTACCATTTTTTTTTTGTTAATTATAGATAGGTTTTCATTACTGCCTGCATGGATTGCTTGGATTTAAAGAATGAGAGCTGTTCTGTGCAAGTCTATTTTCCAAACTGCAAGTCTACAAACCCAGCCGTTCTTTTGAGGTTGCTTTTACTGCAAGTAATTAAGGGCAAAAATTTATAACAAAAGGAGATAGCACAGAGGTCTGCATATGCTGTAAATTACTGAAAATAGCAAAGTCATCACTTGCACTTTATTTGGTGTTAGTACTATCTTAATAATGTGTTTCATTATCTTACCATGTTTAATTCCCCTTATGTATTTGATTGTGGCAATGTCCTGTTCTGAGTGGTATTGAATTAAATGCTTGAAAATCCTTTCATTTTGCATGTTCAGCTCTCTATTACTTCTAAAACACCAAGCCTGAGCAGGTCCATAAAAATGAATGTGTTTTCTCCATCCTCTGCTGTGTGCCAAATTGCTGCCTCCAGATGAGGCAGCATGTTCAGCAAGAGCTGCCCTGGAAACCTCCCAGCCCCCCTGGGCAGGGAGGAGGCTGGTGCTGCTCCTCAGCCTTCCACAGCCCATTGCTGTGAGCACTCCTCCGCTCTGGCTTCCCAGGCAGCCCCATCAGCATTTAAAGAAAAAGAAAAAATCAGAGGGTGGTGAGGGAACCCAGTTCTTGCAGTCAGTTCTCCCCTAATTATGGAGCTTTTGCTCTTGGAAATTGGAGCGATCAGAGAAATTCCCACCAGTTCTAGGATGTCAAGACCAGGAACTCCAGAAGGGTTTCATTGATGAAGTGTCAGATTTAGCTTCCAAATAATGTGTGTGGTGAGCTTTCAACATAACCTCTTTGCTTCTGGAAATAATTCTTTTTGAAGAAATCTTGTTGGTTTTAAGTAGCCATATCTGTTTGCAGACCTTGGTGCTGCTGTTGCCTGAACTTTTACATGCTGTTATGTGTTTGGTATTTTGTTTCTATAATGCTTTTCTTTCCTGTTTCTTTGTTGCTCCCTCACTCAGAGCCTGGATATGATTGATGATGAGGTGAGATACTAGCGTGCTGTTGTGGTGAATCGCGTGACCGTCGTGTGGCAACGTACTGTCTCTTTTGCAGAGTCACATTTCTTGTCTTGTGGTGTTGTGTGCCAAACACCCTTATTGGCACAGAGCACACAGATGTCACTGGCTCCCCTTTCCTTGTCTTGAGTTGCCCTCTCGTTGTTGCTGAGAGTTTTCAAGGCCACAGCAAACTGCAGTTTTTGTGGTATGCTGGAAGCAGGAGGCGGGTCAGTGTCAAAGCAAATCTACCCGACCAGGCATCATCTGTGCTGAGCTCATGCTGGCAATAGCAAAGAAAATTACAGTGTCCAGCCCTGACAACTGGACAGCCAGAAGCTGAGAGAGCTCCCAGCATCTTCTAACCTAATGTAAGAGCTGCTCTAACAGCAGACAGCTGCTGCAGCTTGTAGCAGCTGCTTTGCTGACTACAGCCAGGACAGAATAGCTTTTGTTTCAGGCCCCACTGGCATACCTATGGGTGGAATAAAGTGGCAGAGCAGGGACATTGGCCCTTTTTGGTAGGGTTTGTGCTCTCACCCACAGCAGCACAAGGTGGTGAGAGCAGGGCCAGGGCTGTGGGATCCTTGTGTCTTCTGTACCACTCCTCTGTGTCATCTCGTAAGTCTTCTTCCATAGATAGTATCAGGCTCACTAGCTGTTTGATACCATCACTTTGAACTCTAGAGTGGTTTTCTGAGGGTTTAATTTGCCCTGATACTTTTTTTAAAAGCCTAAACTAATAATAAAGATCTGTGAATGAGCCCAGGAAGTGGAATGCACAATTCATTGCATCCTTTAGAAATCTGGTAATTTGAAGGAAAAAATCTTGTGAGGGAATGGGAGTGTACATGGTTTGAATTGTGCCACATGGCCATTTCAGTCCTGCTTGGGTTTAAAGGAATGCCAGTTCCTTTTTCTTCCGTGATTCTATAGCTTTTTTTGATTCTATGATTCATTCTTAGGTGTCTGGTTAGATAGACATGTAATATAGCAGTGTGAAATCGTTACTATTGTAGTGCAAAGATAGTCCAGATACCTGTGCTCTGATGCTGGTGGTTTGTGCAGAAAAATGTTGTTACTCATCTGTGTTACCCTTTAATAATAACGCGGAATATTTTTGTGGCAGATCCTTGACGATGGACAGTCTCCGAAGCACAGCCAGTGTCAGAGCCGTGCTGTTCACGAGTGGAGTGTGCAGCAGGTTTCCCACTGGTTGATGAGCCTGAACCTTGAACAGTATGTTTCTGAATTCAGTGCCCAGAACATTAATGGGGAGCATCTCCTTCAGCTGGATGGCAGTAAGCTCAAGGTAATTAACTGACTGGGCTTCAAGATGAACTGTAGTATTTTTCATCACTTTACATCATCTCAAAGGCAGTAAGAATGCACCCAGAAAGCAGCAAATCCTTGTGCATGGAGTCATGATAGGCTAGAATAATAAACGGAAAGTATAAAGCCACAGCAACACTTGAAGAAATTCCCATATGCACTTGGATTCAGAAGCTTCAGAAATGCAGGCATTTGCTTTGTGAAAATTCTTGGTGTATATAATATACCCATATTTGCATGTGGAAATCATACAGCAGTGTGTGAAAGTGGTATTTGCACGCACATACTTCTCATCCAGCTCTGTTTTGTGAAAGGGTGATTCTGAGAAGACAGTGAATAGACATATACCAGAAGTAGCAAGAGAGTAATGGATTAATGGGATATGGGAGGCATAAGCTGATACCAGTTGTAGTGTGTTAGAACTAAATACAATTTTGATGTATAAAATAGGCATTGTTTCTTGTAGTAAAAATATGAGCCTATTTCAGTCAAAACTACAGGGTGGAGTTGCAGGAAGCTCGGTAGATCTGAAAGTCCAAGTTTGGTATTTCCCTTCTGTATTTCTTGGTGGCACTATAAGTGTCTTAGAAGACTGCAGGTGAACTTTTGAGGCACAGCAGGGAGAATTTGGAAGTCTTGTTCTATGTGGACTTAGATTACTTCAGTAAAATAGTTTATTTACCTTATTTGATCAATGAAATCAACATTGGTGGTGGCAATGAGGTCTCATCTTTAATATTCTAGAAGAGGAAAGCATGAAGTGTAGTACTTGCACATCAGTGATGTATCTGAGCCTGTGACAGATTCACTTTGTTGTGACTTTGTTGTGACTGTTCACAGTCTTCTAAGGAGAATTTTTACTAGAATATGAAAACAAAACCTGATAAATGAAACCATAAGAAATTCTTCTAAATTTTGTTTTCCCCACCTCAGGCTCTTGGTATGACATCTTCCCAGGACAGAGCAATTATTAAAAGAAAGCTAAAGGAAATGAAAGCATCCTTGGAGAAGGCTCGCAAAGCTCAAGAGAAAATGGAAAAGCAAAGGGAGAAGCTTCGAAAGAAGGAACAAGAGCAGCTGCAGAGGAGATCAAAGAAAATAGACAAGTGTTCATCAGATGCAACAGAGGGCACTAATGAGCAGTGATAAGCAGGAGTGCTGCTGTGTTTGGCAAGTGGAGGCATGTCAAGGAAAGAGAAACTCTCATCCACTCTGACGCCCCTTCAGCTTTCTTGTGTTCATCACCCAGGATTGTGTACAGACAGATGGGGCTGTACATAGAATGACTAGGGAAATTTATATTGTGTTGTTTTCTTTCCTGCATATCCCGTTCACGCTCGTTGCTGTTGCCATGTGAAACAATCCCGGCCCCTCAGTTTGTTCTGTTCTTGTTGACAGCTAACAGATTTCATTTTTGTGGTGGTGTTTCCTTCCAAACTACTCTTCTCTGTTGAGCTCTGTGTGTTTGGTCACTTCAGTAACCAGCATGATGCCAAGGAGCATGTCCACTGCTTCACCTCTTCTGAATAGGATGGCCAGTCAGTATGGTTGGGGAACATTTCTTCAGCTGGATAAAAAGAGTTGTGCTCTGTCTGATAAGATTTGACTTGACTTTCTGACTGGAAGTTCATCTTCTTTACGGTGTTTGGATACTCAGTTCAGTCTGCTGGAGTAAGTTTCATCTTGCATCAGAACCTTTAAGCAACATTTCTCTGAAAACTGTTCAGCGACTTCTTATACACTGGAGATACAGACAGGAGAGTCAATATTCCCCCTGGGTAAAGGACAGGAGTTGAAACTCTTTCTGTTAACTGTACAATAATTAATCCAGGAAGGAGGCAAAGCCTTAAATGGTTATGTGGGTTTACATAGAAATCTGAGGATAACATTTATCCTTTAGATATCTGAGCAAGGATTAATTTCTAACTAGAGCACAGCGTATAAATCTGTATAAATTTTATTGTGCTCCCAGTGTGTAGGCAACTTTCTTATAGCACACTCCACTTTTTTTTTTCATGTGTTTCATACAGGAAACTGGGTTTATTTTGTTTCAAGTTAGTTTTTCCCCAGGAAAAACCCCACATCTTCAAATTGATTCTCCAGTCAGTAAGCATTGGGAGAATAAGCTTTGTGCTGTGCTATTATGAAGCTGGTATTGGAAACAATTATCAAACTTGAGTCTGGTGTAGATTTTCAGTTTTTACAGAAGTGCACTTTAAGAAGAGGAAGATGAGGGATCCTGGTTAAAATGAAATTCAGTACATTGCTGTTAAGGTCAATGCTGCCATGGAGGTGATGGTTACATAATCCAAAGCTCTCCCATTTTAACTGTTTTGATTGATATGTTTAAAGAATATCTAACCAAAAGCTGAATTTTTGGTCTTTGGTTGTAGAATGTTTTGATGGCTTAGCAGTGGTCATACTTGAGGGATTTCTGGGGTGTGTGAGGCCATGGATGAAGCCTGCTGTGTAGTTTTGACTATGACAGAAGCAGGGTATGGTGTTACTGCCCCAACAGCAGTACTGAACTGCACAGTATTGCCTCAAAAGAAGGGACAGACAACGGGCAGGTCTCCACAGTGAGGAGCAGCGGGCAGGAGCTGACTGCTCTGCAGTCAAAGCTCACTGTGTACGGTTGAGAAACGTCACTGCCCACTCGTGCAGCCTGCAAGTGGCAGTCTTCATCTGGCTCTGCAAACCCAGGGATTCTTTAAGATGGTGATGCAAATTCGAATATTGAACCTAAAAATGCGCCAGCCTAGAACTGAAAATTCCTCTGAAGAAAATGTGTGTTTTAGTTTGGCTTGGCTTCTCTTCTGCTCTGTACTTTATGGCATTCAGATTTGAGTCTGCAAAGTTCTCTGAAGCTCAGATTTGGAACACTTAGGGTGCGCTGTTAATAGTTACATTTCTCTTGATCCTAGTAATTTCTTTGACATGTAAAATGGTCTGTAAACTGAGAGAGCCTAGTTCATTCAAAATTAATACGCAACAGATCTACTTAGCGTTAGCTTTATTTTTCCTTCCAAATCCAATTTCTACAAGTTTTTGATGTATATTTTATTCAGATCTAAAATTGAAATTGTCATAAAAGATACTTGCTGATATTTCTAAAGGCTTGTGCTACTTTTCTTGAGATAAACCACCAGCAGCAAAATACACCTGCTGACAAAAAATTACACATTGCAGTAAATCCTTCTGTGTTCATTCATAGGAGAAAACTTTTACAAATGTTTAACAGCCTCATAAAATTAGCATTCTTAGAGTAAAAGAAGTTACCTGGAAGAAACTGGAAGTTTAATATTTTAAATACAATGTTGATAAATGCATTAGATGACAATTTTCTTTTTAAATTATGTTTACATTGTAGTAATGTTTAAGTGGTTGTATATAATAATCTAAGGTGGTGTCTCTGTCTTATGTTCTTTTTATTTAGAAACCAGAGCAGACTGCTTGGCATTATATATTGAGTTTTCATTCTTGCTCCTTAAAACGGTGCCTAGTTAATCTCTTTGTAAATCATGTTCTTACTCTGCAGAATAACTAATTCAACTTAAGTCCTTTAAGTATTCAGGGGATTTTTACTGCTTTGTGATAATGTTATTTTGTTATTCTCAGACTGAAAACATCAACAAAAACCTAACTTAAAAAATCCTAGTGGGTTACATTTAAATTAAAACCATTAAAATGCATTTTGATCAATGTGTGAAAACTAAGGAAACAGAGCAATGACAAGAGTTTTGCTATTCTTTCTGTGATAAAAGATTTATGTGGTTCCTTTTAAGAAATATGGCAACTCAGTCTTGAAGTGCAGAAATGTTACCGGATAACAGGCCTGAAGCACAGTTTGAAACTTTTCTTGCTATTCTGTAGGACCTTTAAAGTTGTGTTGCAATTTTTTTCCCCTGGTATTGTATTATGACTTACAAGAAACAAAAGATGGATGTCTCATCATTCTTAATTTAAACTTCCTGTAAACCAATGCTAAGTCAGACTAGTGGGGGGCTTAATGTAACAGGAAGAAACAAATTTTCTGTGCTGGGTGGCTGGACAGCCTTTTTCATGGTTTGGCTCACCTGCAGACACAATGTCGCCTACATTGTGTATTTATTTGTGGAGCTAAAGCTGTTTTTTATTGGGCTGACTTTCCTGGCCACCTCTGAACTGCTCTGCAGGCAGTGTGGTGCTTCCACACCTCAAGACATGTGCTTGTGTCATCGTTACACCTGGTGACTGCAGCAGGCTGGCCCAAGTTATTTTTTCCCTGGTTAGGGTGGTAGGCCAGTTCTGTAAACTCTAGTTCTGCTCATTGCTGCAGTATTGCAAGTTGTGAATATATAGAGCCTCTAAAAAGGTGAAGAACTGAGAACTAGGAAAAAGTGGAAGTCTCAAAAATAGAAAATGAAATGTACAACACTGCAGGTTACTTTAGTCCTGAAAACCCTAGTGCTTATTCTGAGATTGTGAGGAGAGCAGTGGCTCCTTGTTCTGTTCAAATCAGCCAAACATACTGACATTTTTTGCTTCCAGCTTGTATCTTCCCAATTCTTCACGGTGGGTTGCTGCACTCGTGCAGCGTCCTGTTAAAGCTCCCTGCTGTGCCCAAAGAGACCAGGGCCAGGGGGTGAGGAAGGAGCTGCAGCCCTTCACTGCAATGCGCAGAGCTGCCCGCCGCCTGCATTTCACCCACCGCCCCAAGCAGGTCCTGGTGGGGGTTGCTGGGAGTGGAGCCTGTTGAAGATCATGGGTTAGAATTGCACAGTGGAACAGAAGCCAGTAATAAAAAGATGTTTTGCGTTAGATGTTTGCATTGCAGTGTATACAAATACTTTTGTATTTTTTCAACTTCTCAAAATTTTTTTGCAATGGCATCTCTTTTGCTATGACTGCAGTCTGCTGCAGGGATACCACAAGAATTGAGTTTTTACCAGAACTACTGAGCAGCTTTCCTCTAATACTTGCCAGCCCTTAGCAGTTATTGACATTCAGAGGTGCTTGGCACCTGATATCAGGGTTCCTCATACTTTATTGCTTCCATCAAAGCCTCCTGTCCTCCTGAGCTGCTACACCTTCACCTCCTGGCTCATGGACTGGTAAGAGGTGGGCAGTGTCATTTTTGAGAATTAATTGTGTTCCACTTCCAAGAGAAAGAAGAGAAGGAAATGCCACTCTTGGATGTAGTGCAGAATACTGTTCTACAGCAGTATGGAAGAGGATCATCATGTAGTTGGGGGTCAGTGTTCTAGCAAGGAAACATGGGGTTTTTGTGTTTTTAACCCCAACTTTGATTTTTATTGGAGCACTTTCAGCAGTTTGTTTCTGAGCAGGGTGACAGATGAAATCCAAGGAGACTTGCCCACTCACTGGAGTGGAGCGTGGGTCATCTGCAGATGGCACAGTCCCTTTTGTCAACCTCCCTGTGGATTTTACTGGACTTTTTTTCTGTACCTGTGAAACTGCTTTTTCAAAGCTATAGTACCTTAGTCATGACACTGAGCCCTCCGAACCCTCAATATAAAATGAGGTTTCTGTTACTAACCAGCTGTACCAACTGGTACTTTCGCTTTTAGCATTAAGTAATGATTCAAAAAACGCACATCTTACAGAAAGGTTTGGTGGTAGTGCCTTGGGCTGCCTGTTTCTTTAGGAAGTGTGGATTGTGTTAAGAACAAGCTGTTGGTCAAACCTGCTGAGTTAGGCAGGTCTCCTCTTCCAGAGAGGTGAGGAGGGCTCACAGCGCACGAGGTCAGATCCAGCCCCGGAGCCCGGGGCTCCTGCTGGGTTTCCAGCGGGACCTTTGCCACTGCCACCAGTGGAAGTGGATTTGGGACCTGTGCAGAAGTGTCTCAAGGAAAGGGGGATCTCAGGGCACCAGACATAGGAGTAACCAGCCCATTTGGAAGTGAAGAGTGCGCAGTGAACATCTTCTGACTCTGTACTTTTCCATACACATTCAATCAACAACTGCTTTCATATTTCCCAGTCATGTTGCAAAGGTATCTCACTGGTCACTTAAAAGTGTACACATGTTGCTAGAAGACCAGGCAGCTAAAAGACTAAAATGCACTGTGCTTACTGTAAAAATTGGCTTCTTACATTGCTTCTTTTTATATGGTTAAAGAGATAGTTGTGCTTCAGATTTTTTCCTTTTCCTGTTCTTTTTTTAAAGAGGTCAAGTGTATATGAAATGCATGTTATCCTGAACTTTTTGTTTGTACATCTTGGTGTCTGCTCACCTGCATGAAGGACACAGTAGTGCCATGTCTGAGCTTGTTCTCTTGTGCTTGGTTGCTATGAACTTCTCTAGATTGTTGAGTTTTCCCCAGGATAACTTTGTTTGATATTTAGTTATTGGGAGACATCAAAAGAAAACATCATGGTGGCCCTTTGTTTTCTTACCGTTGAAATACAAACAACAAAGCCTTGTGGTTTAAAGTTAATTTGTTAGTGTAAATAAATTTCTTGCCAATGAGTATTATTGTTGTTAGACAACGAATGCAATAAAAAAGAAATCCTGAATCTTTATTAGAATTTGTAATGAGTCCTCAGTTTTCTGCCCTTTTCTTTATCATTCCAGAAGAAATAATAAATGGTGAGGACAACCAGAAGCTGCATGGATCAGGCTAGTGGGTCAGGGGAATATGTACCTTGTCCTGCTTGTTCTTTGCTTCCTTCTACTCAGCCAAAGGTTATTTTAATCCCAGTTCTTGGCCAAATTGGCATGATTCACAAGCCCCCAAGTGGGTCTCATTTACACTCTGTAACTATGTAGAAAGAAGTAAAAATATATATATATCTATATTAAGGAAAAAATTATCTTTTTTCTTCATATGAAGGTGAAGTGTAGCGTGCAGTCTTTTGCTGCAGGTTGATGTAAAAATAGGCTGCTTTCACGTTGATACTGGTCAATGTTTGTGTGTTTAAAAGATCTGGATTGATTTTGTTACATAAAAACATTTTACACTCAAGTGTAGGTTATTTATAATGGGCATTTTATACATTCAAAAGTACAGCAGTTCTTTTACTGAATATGTTTAATAAGTCTTTTATTTATTTGATTATAGTAAAGCATTAAGTTAGGGAAAATCGAAGGGCACAGACTGTGCAATTTGTATAGTCATTTCAGTGGATTTACATCTGGCAGAATCTAGGCCAAACACTGTGCACTTAATCTGTCTAACCCAGTTTGTGTTTCCCAATGACTGAATCATAAATCTTACCTTCCACTAATAGGGGCACCACCTGCAAGAAGATAAAAAGAATCCTCAATTCATAAAATCATTATCTTAATTAAAACAGATATACTAAGATGCTCTGGGTCCACAGCTGACAAGCAAAATGTGTCTGCTCCCTAGGCCTGGAGCCATCTGTACATATGTCTTTCTTGTTTGTGCAGGTTGTCTCAGATAGCTGCAGCTGGGTTTCAGAAATGTCCAGAACTGCTGCAGTCTCTACAGAGCGTTAAAGATGATGTGTTATGCCCTCCTTGGGCATGCAAGCCTGGATTTTCTGTGTGCAGGTTACTTTGTAATTGGGACTTGAACTTGAACTGCGTCTTGCGCCGCTGCTGTTTCTGCACTGGGGCTGCCAGGAGGTAGAAGCTGTACCCAGCGTGGCTCTTGCTGCACACCAGCTGCCTGCTGGCTGTGTCCTGCCCAGCACCCCCTGGACACTGGTGGCCCTGCTCAGTTCCCACCTCTGCGCTGCGAGGCTGGGATACCTGGGAGGAGCTTGGCAATGGGCTTCCTGCCCTCCTGGCCTCAGGTCAAAAGGTTACTGTCAGTAACAGCAGACAGCTGTGATGTCTCTCCTCTCAAATGCTGTAGGAAAAGGCCCCTCGCTTGCTCATGGTTCCATCTGTAGGCAGACCAACGGGAAAACCTTCAGCACAGGAGCAGTTTAGAACAGGAAAAAGCCAGTGATGAGTGAAGGCAGACTTGATTTTCTGAAAAGCCAAAACCAATAAAAAAGTAGAAGTTTGACAAGATCCAACAACTTGTAGATTTGCTCATTTGAAGATGTTTTAAGCAACAGAAAAATGTGAAAATAATGTTTTGAAGGGTTACTAATGCACTGCAGAGGGAAGTGGCTGTTGCCCTTTTACGCCCAGAGAGTAAATCCAGGACCCGCACAGTGACTGATTGGCATTTCAGCTGTGTCACTGCCACTGATACATGATGTAACTCTTTAGAACACAGCACTTCAGAATAAAAAGTGGTACAATTCTAGAATAATCACATTAGAATGCTAGTGCAAGCCACTGTTGGCTAATCACAAATGAGTGAATAGCCCAACTTCTCCTTACTGTGAGAACTTCCTTCAGAGCAGTTCTTTCAGCTTGGGCTCCAGGAACGACATCTGTTCTTCATAGCTGAAAATGTATTACAAGTTCCTGTAAGAAAGTACACCACTTAGGAGGGAATCTGAAAGTGTCCTGCAGGGAGAGAAGTTGCTAAGGAAGGAGCAGGAAAGCCAGAGTTAGGTAATGCCAAAGTACAGCAAAGGGATGAGACAAAAGCTGCCCTCATTCTGGGTTGGCTCTGCTCTGTAGAAGGGCTGCACACCATAGGCAGCAAAAGATTCAGAACTGTGATCCAAACAGATGAGTCCTTGTCACCAAAGCTTCATGGGCAGACAGTGAAGCCTGGGCAGTGCTCAAGTCCCCAGATCAACTGAGCGTTTTGGAGAAAAGCTGCAAGCATGGTTTGTGCACAGACCTGCTAATGCAGAGCCACCCCCCAGAGACCAATCAATTACCTGTGTGATTTACTGACACCCAAGTCTGCCCCTCCTGTTATCACTGACCCCTGCAGCCGGTGCTGTTGGTACACAACATCACAAATAGCAGGGCCACTGTTGGTACGCGGGTGCGAACGAGTGCTGGCCGCGGCAGCAGAGGGAAGCTGCTGGCATTTGGAAGGGCCAGCATGCCACTGGCTGTTCTTCAGCCTCACACAGCTCTTGTGCCCAGGGACGTGCCTTACACCACGGTGTCTGTGCCAGCGAGCCAGTGGCAATGTGAGGGCTTGGGGTGGAGCAGAGGCTTTGTGGGGCAGGAGGGATGCATGGAGATGTGCAGTGGAAGTGGGGTGACACCGTCCTTCCTGTACAGCAACACAGCCCCAGGCACAAGCCCTGGCACTGACTTCCTGCTCATTAGAGCTGTCCCTTTTGCCCAGGAAAGGAGCAGTTACTCTTTTCCTACCAGAGGGTGAAAGCCATTAGGCTCCTTAGAAAGGAAAGGTGCAGGAGCCAAGAGGTGTCAGTACACACATTTACTGCTCGGGGCCCCTGCTCACCAAAGCTCAGCCTGCACTACTGCCTCTTCTCAGCCAGAACAGCAGAACACAAGACAGAGGAGGGTTTGCACATATTCCACATCCTATCTCAGTGTTTGGGCCACTACAGAGCAGGTTATTTGGTCTGTCTTAAAGGCAGAAGCACTTGTATTTTCTGGACTTCCCATGTACTGTTCAGACTAGAGGGGCTGTGGCTGCTGCTGGAGGCAGGAGGGAACAGCAAAGCCAGCTTAGTAATCAGCACCAGGGACTGGCTCTTTCTCCTCTCATGCTTGCCCTTCAGGAGCAGCCTGCCTTTTTTCTCCACAGTGGTGGAAGAACTGCAGTGAGGAAAAGCTACTGCATCAGCTGAAGGATGCCGAGGGGCTGGCGGCCCTCAGGGATGTCTGTCTGGTGGCAGAATTTGGAGGGGCTGCCAAGATGCTGAAAAGGGCCAGTGCAGGCAGGTGCAGGCAGCACAGTGGCAACCCCAGCAGGGGAGATCCTACATGTAACACAGAGCCTTCAGCTGAATGTCAGCAGCTCTCACAAAACTGGAGAGCTGATCACAGGTGGGAACTCAGAAAGTGCAGCAGGAGCTGCTCTGAAGGTAAAGGCATACACACTAATGCAAGAAGAGCTCACTCCATGAGCTCCAGCTTCAAAGGACACTGAGTTCAGTTCATTGCAAATGACTGCTAACATATCCCAAAAACACTAGCTGAAGGAAACCTGGGGGGCTTTTAGAAGTGCAAAATGTCAATAACTGACGCCAGGTAAACGTGAGGGGCTGCCTGGTGCACAGCGGTGCTGCAGGAATCAGCTCCACACCAGCTGAAGTTAAACACAGAACTGTGTGACCATGGCTTGGGGGAGCCACTGCACAGTGCCCAGAAATGCTCCCTTTGTAGTGACAGACAATAGGAACTGCTAATGCACTTCATGCTGATGGTGTGCAGGAGATGTTTCCCACTCTTTAAGAGAAAAAAAAAAAGCTTTTCTAAACTCCCTTTGAAAGAGCCAGTCATCTCCAAATTGATGCCCTACTCTTTTCTCATCGTATTAAAACAAGTTTATGAAACTGAAGTAACATTGGGAGATGGCTTTAAGGGAGAAGGGGAAATGAATGAGACTGAAATGACATTTATTCTCCTTCCAGTTATTTTGGAAGCATTAGGGAAAGCCAACAGGAGGGTTTTGAAGAAAAACCCCTAGCACAGTCCCTGGGAAGGCCCAGGGGTCAGTGACAAGAATGCACACCACACTTGTAGTCAGCAATTCTCATTTACAAAATCAGTTTTCTCATGGGGGAAAAAAACAACCAAACAACAAACCAGAAATCCAGCCAGCACATAGTTCAGTGTCTGACAGTTTAAGTCATTTACAATTTGAAAATGAACTTCAAGGTTACCCTGTGTTAACAACATGGGGTCCTCCCCATTACACAGATAAACTAATTTCTCACCTTCAATTCCATGTCCTTTACTATTGTGTAGAAGTCTCACTTTGGAGAGGAAGGCTAAAATACATTTCCATTACTGTAGTTAACCTTTATTGGAACAGTCTTGTTGTTAGCAGATCTAGCAGAAACTAAGTGAGTTCCCAAGGAATTAAATCCTTTCCACAGCAGCGGGTCTTGCCCGTGACGAGCTATAGATCACAGTAGAGAGCTCTGTGGAAGACTGTGCCAATGAGCAGTTTTCCCTCGTAGATGGATGCCACTGAGCTTCCCTGCAGCACAGAGCCATTGTCAGAGTAGACACGTGTCACCACAGGCTCCTCCGAGAGGATGTTCTGGATGCGCAGGACCTGCCAGAGCGGGAGGATACGGCTGTTGAAATGGTCATGGGTGAAAATGCTCCAGGGAGAGGGGCAACATCAGCATGGCAACTTAAACAAATTAGGATGACCAGCTGCTGATAATTGCAACCATGTGATTCCTGTGAGAGAGCCTTTAGTGAAGCACGGTCCATGAACACTGATTTTTGTGGGTTTTTTTAAGTTGTTGTGCAACATTGTAAGGAAGTCAAGCAGTCATCCCCACCACCAGGAATGTTCACATTTTTTTCCAGACTAAGAGTTAGTTAATATCTTCTTATTTTCATATTTTTCCTAGACAGAGCAAACAACTGCCTAGTATCAGAAATGTACTGCTGTTGAACATGGTAATTTTGAGAAGTGTCTTACAGGGAGCTTCAGACAAAGCTGAAATCCAAAGGGCAGCAGCCAGCTGCACTCGCAGCCGCTGTCGCCCAATGCCAGTACCTCACTGATTTCATAGAAAGAAGAATTACAGTGTTACCTACAGATGAACCACACTTGCACAAATTAATCATTCCTGTGGAAACATTTCTGGTCACGCTTTGCACTCAGTCAATTATTTTTAGTTTGGCAAAGAGGTGCTGGCTCAGTAATTAATGCAGTTCAACAGAATTTGTGTGCATGTCCACAGCTGCGCAGAAAGCAGCCTGAGGAGTCCAGAGTGACTGAGCTACTGGTTGGAAATTATTTAGTTGTTGCCCAAGGATCTGAATAGGTGTTTGTTAGTGAGTATATGCTGTTCAGGCTCTCACTTGAGACCAGAAGCCAGCTTGGTCTTTGCTTTAACAAAGGCACTTTGTGCCAGGCACTTTCTATGAAATGCAGTTAAGTTATACCAGCATAATTTGAACAAGACAACTTTCTGGCACAGACATAGTCAAGAGACCAGTGATGTCTCCCAAAAGGCACCTCAGATGCAGGAAGATTTTCAGGATCATAGTAGAGCAGCTTCATCCCATTGGGATGGCATCCTGCCCAGATGTCTCCAGTGTGAGGGTCAATAGACAAGTTGTCAACCAGAGTGTCCAGCTGCAGTGTCTAGCCAACACAGAAAAAAACAAAAAATTAATTATATCAGAAATCCTGGGAGCAAACCACAACATAACCAACAGACTTGTCTCAAATGACATAATTTAGGCTGGGGTTTTTTTAAGAAATACTTTTCCCCTAACTTCTGTGTGTCTTTTCCCCTGGTATGCATCGTCCCCTGTGCTATGAGAAATCTGTTTGCTGCTCTGAGCTTCCCCCATCAGCTCATTCACACCTACACCTCTGCGGATGCTTTCAGTGCTCTGATCCCCACTGCCTGAGGCAGACTTCCACTACAGCTCAACAGCATACCCAAGGATTCCTCCCTGGTTGTTGGTGGGAGGGTGGAACATCTGAAGCTCTGTAACAGGGTGTGCAGACACCTCTGCAAACCCACAGTAGGAGCCACCCAGGTCAGAACTTTACAGATGTTCATGCTGAAATCTCAAGCATTCATTGAAACTATTCTGTCCAAAATCCAAAATCCAAAATCCACATCTGCCTTTTTTATTGAACAGCAGCACCTTACCTTCACATGGGTTAAACTCCAGTTAGCATGCTTTTCCATGACATACACATTGTGATCCAGTATATCTGCAATATAGATGTACCTTCAAAAGAAAGAAAAGCACTTCTTAATATAAGTAAGCAGACACCATAACTAAACAGTTCCTCCAGTGGAAGTCCACACACAAACAGACATTGCAAGCCAGCCACAGGGCACTGAAGCCAACCTGCTGAGCACCTCAGCTACACTGAGGTGCCAGTGTAGCTTCACATTGTGCCAGTTTTTCCATTACGACACTGAAATAAGCCTTGGAACCAGAAAATCACAATTATGATTTTATTTTTTTTAATCACTGTCCACACCACAGGAATGGTTGATTCAGTCATACGGGTGTAGGACTATAGAGCACTCCCTGCTTGCAGAAACCCTGCCCCATTAATCAATGCAAGCAAGAAACACAAACTCCTGTATTAGCTGGTTAAAATGCAGCAACTGTTGACCTTATTGCCTATAAAGTACCACACAATGCAGCAAACACTATGAAGGAGCATTTTAGGACTGCCCAGAATACAGTCAGGACATGGTCATCAATACCCATAAAGAGGCTGCAATTATAGATGTACTTCAAGTAGTCACCAAATTATTTAGATCCTTTTTACTCTATTTTCTATGAGTCAGGACAGTGCAATGCTGAGACCTGAATAGGGCCATAGGGAATCAGCTAGAGATCTGGCTACAGGTCTGTAAGTACATGGAAATAATTTTTTTATTATTAGTATTATTTTCTTTTTCATTACATTCAAGTAGAAATCAGAGAACAAGGAGGTGTTGTGACAACTTAATCAATCTGGCTGTTTATTTTACAATCATATTGCAGTAGAACAGACCAAAAAAATTTTGTATTAAAAATAAGAAAAACAGAAAATGCTAAATGTATGTTTATTTTTACAGTGTAGGAAATCCAGACGATAAAATATCTGGGGACTCATATCTGCAATGACCTGAGCGTGGGCTGCATGAACAAAGGAGAAATGGATGCCAAGCTAATCACTGGCATCAATCACAGCAACGCTTAAGACTAATTTAGTGATACAACTATTAAAAATCTAATTTAGAGGAGAGATTGGGGAAACACTGCTTTTGATTACACAGATAAGAAGTAATCAGTAAGAGAAACAGGGATGCTGGTTAAAGAGGAAATATCTCCTATTAATAATAGCCTAAACCCAAAAATCATCCTACACTGGATTTCACCAATGCAGCCTGATCTGGAGGAAGACTGTATTTGAGTCCCATACCTTGTCAGAAGGTCATGTCGAATGGTTTTCAGGTGTACAAGAGAATTGTCATCTTCTACAAATTTAAACAATTCCACTGTGCTCTTCTGGTGGGGATGGTTCACGACGAAGAGGTACACGGTGTCGTCTTGAAAAAGAAATGGAAACAGCTGAATTCTGTGCAGCAGTGTGTGCGGCTGAGCACCCCAGCCCTGAGGCGGCCTCCAGCACAGAGCACGTGCTGAGTTTGGTGCATTTGTCTCGTGGCTCTGCACAGGCACAGGGACGAGTACCCACATTCTGCAAGACGCCTCTGCAACCGCATCCGGATCTCCAGCTGCTTTTCTCCCAGGCTGGCTCTACAGGGAGCTGCTGTGTTAACTAGATCTTTGCTATTTCTTCCAAGGAAGGAGGAAACTACCACCTCATCGTTATACCCAAGCCACTGGGCTTTGCAATCGGTGAAACAGCCCCAGTGAGCTGAAAGAAGGGTTTGTGGCCAAGGCAGTTTGGGCTCTTGGCTTTGTCTCCCCTGGGAGAGTGGAAGGAGCATCCTTCTCCTGCATTCTATGCAATGCTGCAGCCCATCTGCCCAGCCCTTCTGGCAGGACCCTACATTAGCCACCACTGGTTTTTCCAACACCTTCCCTTAAAGGGTGACTGTGTGGGGATGCAGGTCAAGCTGCAGCAATTGTTTTCTTCATATTTGCAGAATTCTACTTGCCCTGCTAAAACCCCCAATGAAAAGACAGGGAAAAAGATACTTTATTGGTAGTCAGAGCCTGGCATAGGAGAACGTATCTTGGAGAAGAGAACCTAGCTTGGACAAAGAGTAACAGAGGTTTTGGTAATTTACAGAGAGTTGATAATTTACTGTTTTGCCACAAAAGTTTCCATTCTGGGCACTACTAGTCAGTGAAGGATGTATCTCCTCAAAACACTTGAACCCAGCATGAGACAGATGTAAATGTAAAATCAATTTTCTGTGGTTTTCAACCCTAACTTTTACCATGTTTTCTTTCCTTTTAATATTCAGGGCATCCTTCAGTTTCAGACAGACTGAAATTATGTGCAAGTGTGTTTCCTTTAGCAACTGACATTTAGAAAAGGGCAAAACTAAGGTAAAAACCCTAAACCTTTCTGTCTCCCAGCAAGAACCACCATTGGGAGCAGAGGAATTCCTGATTGTGCTCTCTAGGCTAATATTTGCCACCATCTCAAGCTTTTTACCTCTGTCAATATAGGTGCTGATTCCATGAGGGTTAAACGATGCCAGGTCAAACCCTCGGCTGATTCTCAGTTCCACTGCTCTGGGATTGTCTTCATTCAAATCCATCAAAAATATTTCACCTGGCTTATCTGGAGCAAAGCTCTTTAATCCTGGGTATTTCAAGCCCTGTAAAATCCAAACATAAGAAAATAACTCCTGGGTAAAAGGTAAACAAGAGCATCACAGGGCTGAAAATGCCAGAGCCTTGATCAGACTTGCAAGCACACATGAGAATGTCCCATGGCCAGCCATCCTAATTGCAAAGAAAAGGCTGAAAACCTATCTCCTAAAGGCTAAAAAAAAATCAGGAACAGCAAAATTGATACGTAAAATTTGTTTTTTTCTTAAAGTTAGGGAATTAAGACAGCTTCTTAACATGGCAGAGGATTGACATTTCAACATTTCAATGAAGTAGCATGACAGAAAGCCAAGGTTACGTGGCCAGGTAAGTCAGTGTGGTAGGATACCTGTGTCAGAGCCACCAACACCACTTCTGTGACAAGAAGCATGCTTGCTGAGAGGAATGACAGCTAAGCCAGCCTAAGACTGGGCTGTTCTTTGGGAGCCAGTCAGCCTTGTAGAAGAGAGCCCCTCCTGCTGTTTTCACCTGTGGCTTCTGCAGATAAGGAAACAGGCAAACCCCAGCATGGGGAGGTGGCATGGGAACTTACAGAGCTGATGAAAGCCAGTCCATTGGGAAGTATATCGATGTCTTCTGAACCAGTTTCTGCAAAACAGAGATAAACAGGAGTCTTCAGATGACATTAAGCATTTCCCATTGAAAAAAATCTCTTTTTAAGTACAGTTCCAGCTCTCATGAATGACCCTTTCTGGTATGACCCCACACACGATGAAGTTTGGTGCAAAAGTTTGGCCACTGCATAAGAAGTGGTAGCAGAAGACAGCGCATCAGGTAAGGAAATAGCACTGGGGTTCACCTCTTTTGGGGGCCAAGGGCACTTTTTGCAGTGTCCAGGCAGTCTCCTACCCAGATCCTTGTGCCCCAGATGTTGTGAGATGAATCACCAGGTGTGGGATGAATCACCAGCTCCTGAGGATGTGTTCTGCAGCAAGCAATTAGTGTGGGTATGGGGATTTCCAGGGCAGGACCATACCTGTGACTCAGGCCTCAGGCTTGCATAAGGCAGCTGTGGGAATTGTGCTCACTAATTCTCCTGATTGAACTTGGACACTTCACAAAAATGGATTGCCAAATATTTAGTTAAATTCTCAAGTGACAGAGAACCTACTATATCTATAACAGCTAAGAGATTTCATAGTTAGACCTCACTTTCAACTACAGGTAATCACTTCCAATATTGCCAGTTCTTGTAGCTCCTGTAATATTTTTCCCTGCTAAGAAAGGAACATAAAATAAAAACCCTTTAGTAAGAACACTTGAGTAATTTTAGGCTTTCATAAAGCACTCTCCGAAGACTTTCAGTCCAATGCTGAAGGCCATTTGCCATCCCACGTTTCCACCCCTCCCCTGAGAACTCTCCCCTCTTTTCTCCAAATCACCAGCAAAAACAGCATTCCTCACAAGTCACTTTCCAGATGATGAGGGAAACCACTCAGGAGCACTTGCTTAAAGAAGATTCTTTGGCAGGTTTTCTTTGTCAGAGCCATCAACACGAGGCTTTTCCACCCAGCTTGTCCCATGTCTCCACATCCCCTCCTGCTCTGGCATAACCACACACGTGAGCCTGCATGGGTCACACAATCCATTGCACATCAACACCTCTTCCCAAGGGATCACCTGCAAATTTGAGCTGGGTTTACTGTTTGCTTTTAAGCAACTCCTATTTATCCAAGCACTGGTTTACCTGGGCTGTAATTGATCCTGGGATCACTGACAGCCTCTATGGAGAGGAACCAGAACCCCAAATTCACCCATCCAGAAAGTTCCTCCCTAGCTCAGCTCTGGGAATATGCAGTGGCACAACTTCTCACTTCTGCCAGGGTCAGCTCCTCCTCAGCCTCAGCAAGTTCCTGCTCCATCCCATGATGGCAATGAGCCGTCTGAAGAGCTGCCTTCTGTCCCTGCCTTCTGAAGAGCAAAATGTCTGAAGATGCATTTTGGGAGGAGTCAGCTGCTATCCCACCCAGGGTTTTGGTTCTGAATTTTGACTAACTCAGGCAGGAGACAACATCTGCACTGATGTGTCCAGAAACACTTAGAGCCTGTATTTACCAATTACAGTTTTGAATTTGGGCTTCCAAATTTTTTTTTTTATTTGGGTTTTTTTTTTTTTTTTTTTTTTTTTTTTTTTTTTTTTTTTTTTTCTCAGCTCAGCTTACACTCTGGTTTGAGCCACAAACTCCTTTCCATTGCCCCAGTCTCTCAAAGCCTGGGTTAATTTATAAAATGGGGTTAGTGGTAATTCTCCACTTCCCAGGATTGCTGCAAGGCTAATAGCATAAATAAATGCTGAGAGGCTCAATTGCCATGGTGACATGAGCTGGACAGACAGCTTTTACTGGCAGCACACACTGGTGAGTGAATAAACAGATACAATCATTTATCGCTACTGAATCGGTGAGGCTGCCAAGCAGAAAGATGAGCAGGCTAATTGGGAACAGATAATTAAAACCTACAAGTTTCTGGTGGAAGGAACACACTGAGAGCCCTGCACCCAACTGCTTCAAGGGAAAGTGCCCAGCAAAGCACATTTCGGGCGCTCCATGGCCATGTCCTGGAATGCGTGGAAGGCAGTGGTGTCGGGAGAGCAGCGGAACGCTGACTCAGCACAGCCCTGCTGATCCATGATGTTGTTTAATTTTATCACCGAGCCCAGCTTGTCCATGGGACTATCTGAAGAGAGGTGGTATTTAAGAGAAATTAAAAGGTAGTGTGAAAAACAGCTGCCTACTCTAGAAATGTTGGCTATTTGCTGTTTTTTATTTTATCTTAGTATGATGTATTCTGCAGGTGTATCTAATAAAAATCCCATCTGGGTTTCATGTCCAAAAGTGTGACACTGTTTTGCCCATATCCCACTAATTGTTCCAAGATGCAAGTATTTCTAGCAACTTCTATAGCAGCTTCTTGAACTTTAGGAATTAGTACAGGAGATATAGTTAGTTTATTATAAACCAGTAACATGACAAGGCATCAGTAAAATCAGAAGCTAGTGTTTATTCTACAAATACAGCCTTTTCTACATATTTGAAAATGAGGCTTAGGACAAGCTGCAATTTTTGTTTGTTCTACGTTTGTAGCTGTGCTTATATTGCACAATATTTGAATAGCAGAATAGATTAAAGTCTTTAGAGAGATACAGAAAAGATGCAACTGTGCAGAAAGAAAAAGGTCCACTAGAGAAGTCTTCCATTTACTCTGTTTTTGCTTTACTTACTATATATCCATCACTTATATTTCATAGACTCTACCAGAGGTCTGTTCTTCTATGTACAGAATGGATAGATTAAGATTATTTTGCTCAGAACTAGCTGATCCAGCTCTGGGACCTATGTCACATTTAAGAGTTCAGAAGGACTGATTTAAACATTAAAATAAAGACAGATTGTTTATTCAGCTTTATCCTAGCATTTTAAAGGAAAAAGGCACAGGAGGCCAAGACATCCATGTACAAAGACATCCTAAGACAAAGTCACCCACACAAGCAGCCTTACAGATCCCAGTACAGCAGAACCTTCTGTCTGAACAGTACTACCTAGGCAGCATTTAAGCTTTAGGGATCCTTGTTCACTAATATAAGCCTCCTGGTCACAGCAAATGAGCTTTAGATGATGTTTGAGTGAACATGCCGACTTTTAAGTTTGCACAATCCTTTGTTATTTCTCTTTCTGCCGCACTGGACCTGCTAAACTAATTTTTTGGCATTTTAATTTTTCTGATGAGCAGCAAACTGCAGAGCAAAGACAAGGCAAGACGCTGTTCTCTGTGGGAAGGGACAGCATTGGAGGAGCCAGCAAGAAGCAGAGATGGAGCTCAGTAAATGGATCCACTGCCTCTAAGCAGAGACAGGCTCTCAGAAATAACCTAATCCGCATGTAAATGTCAGGCACAAAAACCAAGATGCTGTTCAGAAACGAAACACAACTCTATTTGTCTTTTCCAGGTTTCCTTCTTTCCTCAACAGAACAATCACATTGCAAAAAAATCTTATAAAGATTGCAATAGTGATATGCCTAAAAAATTCCTCAGAAATTATTTTATATTGATCACCACCAAACAAGCATCATTCATAGTCATTATGAGTAAACTACAGCTTAATCTAGAAGACCTGGAAAATTTTTTTAATACCATTCTTTTCTGTATGTATTTTCAAGCACAGGAACTCTGCATATATACATTCATAGCAGTAATTTGACTTTATAAAAATGTTTGAATCCTGACACAAGGAAGAAACAAGATTTATGAAATCAATTCACTGACTCAGCAAGCTCAAAGGCAAGGCTGTAAAAGCTCATCCAATGACTTTTTACACATGAAAAATCCAAACAAATTTCAACATCATTTAAGCCATTTCCAAAAATACTAAGGAGGGGAAAATCCTCAGCCATCAAGCCCGATTGAGGTTTTTTGGGAGGGAGACAAAAAAAAAGCAATCCATTTCAAAGCTATCAATTTATAAACTGGTTATCCTAAGTGGAGAGAAAAAAACCGCAAGACATAAATATTTCTGTGTGCTAAACACATGGCCCAAAGTACAAAGTCAACATTTCAGCCACTCTGTTAAACCTCTCTGCAAACCAGAGTGAGATGACAAACATGACCCCTCGCTCTTTGGAACCGCACAGCTGCATTGCACAACCGCGCCGAGCTCCCGCCCGCCACCGGCCCCGCGCCACCAGCCGGCTCCTAAACATGCCCAAAATGTGGCGCTGAGGAGGGGCAGCCCGGCTGGCATTTACCAGCCGCTCCTTCGCCATGTGCCTAAGGCCTTCTGCTAAGGCTTCCACCCTTGCAGATCTTCCATCTCCAAGGTGTAACCAGCTGACAGCCTCCTGTAGGTACCTGCCTGAAGAGCCAGCACACCCTCATCTAAAAGCCAAATCATTTCCCAAGTGGCTTAGGAAAGGAGAAGTGTTTGCAAGGTACTCAATTTTAAGAAAAAGAAAGAAACTAAGGACTGACTTATACACGGCTAGTATTTCAGGACTATTTTTCCTGCAGTTTCTCCCTATCTCCAAGTCCAAGTAGCAAATCAAAGTCAAATTAGCACTTTGTTTTTGGGATCAGGCTTGGAAGCTGGCTTTAAGAAGCCATTACAAAAGAAGGCTGGACAAAAGCAAGGCGCTCAGTTATTTTAAGCACGTACCGATCCCTTTAATGAGCCGGCAGTTCGGGAGGCTCACTGGGGCTACTTCCCGTGAAGCATTGAATCTGTTCCTGCAAGAGGAAAGAGCAGGGTTAAACAGCACACAGCCAGTTTGAAAACAGGTAACTTTCCTAGTTTTCAGTTTTATTGTCTGCCACATTGCAGCAACAAATCAGCCGTAAAATACTGAATAAGCAAACTCCAGAAACAACAACAGCAACTGCTCCAAATCACTGCAATGGTTACACATGACCGAGGATTAAGTGATTCTTCTACTCTGAGTAACTTCCGAAACTTCATTTTGCTCATGAGCTTCAGCAACAAGCTTTCATGACCCAGTGCAGCTCAGCTGATAACATAACCACACTTTCTTCAGGTTTCAGACACCTAAATATAGAAGCACCCTGCAGTTAGGACCAACATTTCACATGAGGAGAGGGCAATCTTATACTACAACCCACGGCCGATTTTTGGTGACCAGACCACCAGCAGTTGCATTTTCTTTATTTTTTGTCTACATTCAAAGGTAGCAGTAGCACTGTTGTTTTGCCTACATACAAAGGTAGTAGGAGCACTCTTTTTCTTAGAACAAGCAGGACTTGGTAGTATGGTTTTCAGCAATTACCCTGTCCCCTCCTCTTCACCTCAAGCACTACCCTTAATCAGTGCTTATTTCATTCATGAATGTGCATGAAATTCCACCTGTGGCTCATACTTCACTGGACAAACAGATACAGACAGGCACACACAAGTTCATATTTCTCCATTTCCTCCGTTCCAAGTTGTTTGCAAATCTGCATGAGCACCACCTCACAACAACCAGGAGGTTTGACCATGCTGGTTTGCAGTGACACAAGAAAATATGTTGCATTTCTATGTATTCTACTGTGCTGGAATATTTATTTTTTTCTTTTCTTTTCTTTTTTTCTTTTTTTTTTTTTTTCTGCCCAGAAGGAAGCATTTAAGCTAATGTAGTAACTCTTTTGCATAACTATCATATGCATATGTTGAGGCTATTGCTGCAATCACAGGAAATTCTGAATGCAAAGATCCCATAGCAAAACCTTGCCATGTTTATGTTATGGTTTTAGGCATAAACATAAAGTAAACAGCAGTATCAGTCAGTGATATGAAAAATATGTGATACAGTTGAGCACTACATGGTATGTCAGTCCTGCATTTTTTTAATCACTTAAATATGAATTGTAAATTGCTTCAATGCTGTATCACTGACACAGGTTGTTAATATAAGGCCAAAAGAAAAGAAGAAAACCAGTAAAAAGTGCAGACGACTGCAAGGGAAAGGAGCCAAATTAAACCCTCCCAAGCCCTCTCTCCCAGCACAGGAGAAGTGACAGAGGTCACACTGGCTCCCAGCCCACAAGCAGCACAGGAGGGATATCTCCCTGCTGCCCCTTACCCACCAGCATCCCGGCACAGCCAACCACACCAAGCCCTCGAGCGGGGCTCAGGGGGATCCTGCCTAAAGTTCCACTGCTGCCTGTTTAGGGTTTGTCCCTTCCCTGTTTTCACCAGCTTTTCCCAGGCAGGCTGCAAGCCACCCCGAGCCAAAAGCACAGCAGGAACTCAGCCAGCAGCCAGCAAGGGATGATGATATCCCGACAGCATTCCCAGGGAAACACTTCATGGGCTGGAATGAGAGTAATTCAAAAGGACACCAGTCACAAGCCTGCAGCATATATAGAGGCTTTTCCAAAATGTGTCAGTTTATCTAGCTCAGACAGCCTCAGCCACACAGCCAGATGGCCTAGATAACTGACTGGCCATACTAACAACGGCCTGGAATGTGGAAGACCCGCCATATGTGCGGGATGCAACTTCAAAGAAAGCAGGAGTTTTTGCTACTTGGTGCAAGTCCAGTGCATGACACCTTTTCCCTCAGTTTCTCTCTCCAGTTTGAGTTCTCCACCTGCTTCCCTACTTCATGAGACGCAGACCACAGGCCTTCCCTTCAGAAGGAACCCATTGCATATTCAAAGACCTCTCTCTCTTTTAGTTTTCCTCATCTCTAGACTAACCAATCATGAATCGCTTGGGATTTGATTCTGGGGGTTTTTAACAAATTCAGAAGGAACTACAGAAAGTCTTTGCTAGATTCTTGCCCTCTGGGTAGGGGATGAATAAAAAAGACCCTTGGCAAGAGCTAACACCACCCACAGTTTCTCCTCTCAAGACTGTGTTAAATTACTTTTAGAGTACTTTGTGATCTGAAGTTCTGTGTTTCCAAACTTGGCAACTGTCTTAAGACTGCTGGTACATTGCAGTTTGCAGAAAACACAGCACACAGGAAAAACCCACAGAGAGCGACAGAGACAGGGGGATCCTATTTCTTCACAGATATTCTCCTTTACCAGATTCCTAACATTTCATTTGTTCACTCAGTCTGGAGGAGAGGTGGAGTCCTCTGCTCTTCACTGCACTTTGAAATGGCTCACCCCACTAAAGCCTGGGAGTATCTTCCAGTTCTGCTATTCCAGTTTATGCAACTCCAGGACAGGAGAGTCCCATTACCACTGTGGCTATCACCAGTAACACTTGTGGTGGATTTAATGCAGCCACCATCCATGCCTGGTACCAGGGTCCAGGCAGTAAAGCTCTCCTTCTATAATTAGATAAAATTATCTACCCAAATTCAATTAGCTGGATCAGGCATTTGGAGTCCTTGTGAACATAAGCAAAATTATATTGACTTAGTCACCTACCAGTACAGCAATTCAGCATCACTTCTGTGACCTGAAAGGACCTGTTACACATTCAGGAGCTTTCAGGACAGAAGCTGCTGTAACACCAGTGTTCACATTCATACCTCATGGCATGAGGTGTGTGATACGGAGCATGACATGGCTGGGTATTTCAGCTCACAGCAAGTGAGGTCACAACTTAGGATCACCAAAGTCTGGGCTCCACCAGAGGAAACCTGATGTACATAGGGGCTACTCTTATCCAGAGGTCAGCTTTGGTAGAACATAACCCAAGCTTCTGGCAAACTATTTGGGGTTACTGCTTGGCCAGTCGGCAGGAGATGAGGTAAATTCACAGACAGTGCTTCTGGCACATCCCTGTTAGTTACAGGCTCTATAAAAACAGAGGTACTGTCCCCTGCCCCTGGGCACCTTCTTTGCTTGTCCCCCTTGCTCCCATCATCCTGGGGAGGATTTCACATCCACTCAGTGCAATAAATGGTCCTGAAGTTAGTTAATGCCGAAACGTGATGACAAGCACATCACAGTGCCTATATTTTCTCTGGGAAAACCCGGTTCCCTTGATGGTATTGACGGCAATGATGGTGATGATGGTGAAGAACCCTTCCCCTCTGGCTGACACCGCGCTGGTGCAAGGGCAGGTATTCGCCAAGCTGTACCCGAGTCCGGGAGCTGCTGGTCCTCCCGCTCGGAGGGTGGAGGGAAGCGCCGCCGCCCCCGCCCGGCTCAGCCCCGCACCGGCGCCGCCTGAGCCCGTCCCGCCCGCCGGCACCGGGACCGCGGCTCCGGGACCCCGCTCACCCACCGGAAGGCCAGCAGCCGCTCCGCCGCCAAGGCTGCCGCTATCCCGACGAGAGCCACCGCCAGCAGCTTCCCCATGGCCGCTCCCGGCTCCTCCGCGTCCCGTCCCGACCGGTCCCGTCCCGTCCCGTCCCGTCCCGCCCCCGGCGCCGGGCGCTGCCCCCTCGCCCCCGCCCCGCCCGGCCGTGCCCGCGCCCGCGGCACCGCGCCAGGCAGCGCCGCCCGGCAGGCTCCGTGCCGTGCTCCCGTGGGGAGGGCGGCTGGACCAGCTTCCAGCTCCGTTATGAAAAATGTGTGCGTTGTACAAACGTGAGTGTGTCAGACCAAGACTGCGTGGTGTGGAATGCTCCGGTACTCCGTGTACACCTCTGCTGGGATGTACACGCTGATATGTGTACACTCATACCAGAGCTTCCCCCCCCAATGATGCTGCTTCCACTGCCATCCTCCCACCAATATCTTTCTTCTCTGTGCAGGAGAAGGGCTGCAGAACCCACCTCAGGGCTCCAGGGTTCCTCCATTCAGCACTCTGCTCTTGCATCATGTTGGCTTCCCTGTGCTTTCTGCTTTTTGCAGGGGCACACTTGGCAGGTACATGACCTCCCTCAGCAGTTATCTTTCCCTTCCCTGCACAGTGAATGTCCTCACGTGCACACATTCCTTTGCACTTTTCTGAAAGTCTGAGCAATCACTTAAAAGGGCTTTCCTGCTCTTCTTGCCCTTGCCCTTGAGGCCAAGCAGATGCTCCACACTTAGTAGCACTTCAAGTAAAGTGTGTCAGGGAAGAGGAGGGAACTCTAAAATACCTTTTCCCCTCAGTTGTGAAATACTCCTTTTCCCCTTTCTGGTCCTTGATTACTTTGAAATTATAGATAGATGAGGGTTTTTTTGGGGAGAAATGCATGGCATTGTTGTGACCCAAGTGTAGGATCTGGCACATGGCCCTTGTTGAATCTCATACCATTGGCCTCAACTCGTGGATCCAGCCTGTTCAGATCCTGCTGCAGAGCCTTCCTACCCTCCAGCAGATCAACACTCCCACACAGCTTGGTGGTGCCGCAAACTTACTGAGGGTGTGCCAGATCTCCACATCCAGATAAATATATTAAACAGGACTAGCACAAATAGTCCAGCGAACACCACTCATGAGTGGCCACCAGTTGGATTTAACTCCATGCTTCACCACTCTCTGCGTCCAGCCATCCAGACAGCTTTTTCACCCAGTGGACAGTGCACCCATCCAAACCACGAGCAGTTTCTCCAGGAGAATTCTGTATGAAATGATATCAAAGGATTTATAAAGTCTGGGTAGACACATCCACAGCCTTTCCTTCATCCACTGGACAGGTCACGCATGTCACCCTGTCACAGGAGGAGACGGGTTGGTCAAGCAGGATCTGCCTTTCACAAGCCCATGCTGGCTGGGCCTGATCCCCTGCTTGTCCTTAGTTCCATTGGATGGCACTCAAGATGATCTGCTCCATGATCTTCACCTCCTTTCCATGATGGCAACTGTATCATAGTTTTCCTGCTGCATGATGAATTGCTGCTCCTGTTTATTGCCCATTCTGCATGCACTGGCACCTATGCACTCCATTTGGGCTGTTGTTCCCACTGCCTTCTTGGGGGTAGAAGCCCTGAGTCTTGCATGACCATTTTCACACACTTGTGTGATGTCTAACACCTCAATGACTCCTGCATCTTTGCTGCTGTGTGGATCTCCATGCATCTTCACCCCCTGCCACTGAGGCAGCAGACTAAAGGAGCATGCTAGCACACCATCCATCAAACACTGATGTACTGCCTCCAGGCTTGTCTCTATCTAGACTGGTTCTATCCCCTTCCCCCTTCAAATCTAGTTTAAAACTCTTCCAGTGAGCCCTTCTAACTGGGCAAAGATCTTTGAGATCAGGCGTATCCCATCTGTCACAAACAGACCTGCCCATGATAAAAAAAAAACAGATTCTGCTGGTTTCTTATCTCAGGTTTCACACCAAGACCACTTTCCTAGCATAGTATTTTCCATTCATTTATTTACACTGCAGTTTAATTTGCAAAAGGACATACTGCTTACTGCCCAGAACTCGATTTTCAGACAAGATGGGTGCAATTCATCTGATTAAATGTCAATATCTCAATGAAAACATCAGAGCTGGTCATAAGATTGCAAGAGTGGCCATCCTGTGTCACGCCAAGGGTTCAGCTCAACAGCTAACACAGGCAGTAAGCCTGGGCTTAGGAAGAATGGGGGGCAACTTGGATAAATCCCCCAAGTTTCTTTCCTAGCTCTTAATTATTTTTAGCTCAGTATGATGAGCTTTACCTTTTTAGTAACCCCTAATAGAGTTATCATTCAAGTACTTTCCTGTCATTTCTTTGAAGTGAGCTGTGCTTTTACCACACTTCTTGCTGATGTCAAGCCACCTAGGCACCCTTTATTGTCACAGCAGGAAAACAGTTACTTTGAGGTAGCAATTCATATAAAAGGTGCCTAAAATAGCTCAAGAAATCTTTCCTAGGAAGTGGAGATTCCTCTGCATTCATTGGAAAGGAGCCTACAGGGACTAATTCAAGTGTAGAAATCTGCTCTGTAGATGCCTGAAGGTAGATGGAATGAATCTCCCTTGAAGTCTCTGCTTATCAAGTCACCCTTGGCTGAAGGAAGACTCTGGGCTTCTCAGCAACCAACCTCCTGAGCAGATCCCAGCCAGCCTGGGGTCAGCCCACTGGCACTGTCACATCTGCTCTGGCTTTCCCTCACCAGCACCCCCCAGCTGGCCAAGTGGCTGCAGCAGTGCTGGAAAACTCCTGATTGCTTCTCGGTCTGTTGCAAATCCCCCTGTGGTCTTTGCTTTGGGGCACTCAGGAGAGACCTGGGGGTGACCTGCTGCCACACAGCATCATGACTAAAAGCAGGAATGGGTTGTGTGCACGGCATCAACTGGAGAGGGCTGTGTACCAAGCCTGGTAGTGGAGGAAGTGAGCAGAGCAGGTAGACAAGAAAAGTCTTATTCTAATTTAGTCATTTAGACTCCTGTACAGTCAATGAAAGAAAAGAAACCCTCAGTAAACAAGTCCAAGGGTGGATTTATTCCATCTGGGAAAGCATGCATGAAGTAGGACAAGTAGCAGATTGTGGATGCCTAGGCTTCTTCTCTCCCTGTCTCTCCCAGCTGATGGAAATAAGACTGCTTACTGAGAAAATAAAAGGGAGCTTTTAAATTACTGAAGGTAATTTAGTATTAAAATAGTAGAAATTCTTCTACTAAAATTTTGGAAGTCTTAAGTCTTTCACTTGTAAAAGATAAGCCCTTTACATGTGCTTTTCTATCTCATATCATCATCTTTTTTAACAGGTAAGATACAGAAGCTATGTAAACACAGATTTGGATTTCACAACTATTTCAAAATGCATCATTCTTGAGTCATTAATGAAACACAATATGTTTTGCCAAACAAACTTTTAAAAAGCCAAGACTCTCTTTTTATCCAGATTTTACTCTCTCCTATAGTGATGTAAATCTGAAGTAAATCCACTGATATCTGCATTGCCAAAGTATTTACAATGAATTTACACTAAAGATTAAAGATCAGAATATGATTCTGGAGCACTTTTGGGGGAATAATCTGACTAAATACAAAAGCTTGCAATGCAGGTGTGATAATATTAAGTGGATCCTTCAGTTCATGGAGGGCATTGAGGGCCCCAAGCTCTGGAGGGCATTGAGGGCAAACCTGATTGACAGCTCTTGAGGAGTCAGGCAGTGCTCAGTGACCCCGAGCTGCTCTAAAATACTGAGTGAAATTCAGAAGAGGGCATGTGGGTGTGAAGATAAAGAAGATGTTTATATAGTTTAACTGTAGAAACAATCAGAAGATGTCAACACAGTGTGGAAAGGCTCAAAGAGAGTCTAGTGAGGTCTTAAACTGAACTCACTGGTTTTGCTGAATTCAGATCTTAAAACTGGGTTAATGTAAAGGCCACATCCATCAGATTGCTGCTGACATGCAGGTGCTGAACTAGCTTCAAGTAAAAATAAAAACTGGCAGGCAAGAAAGCTGTTTCCCACAAAAGTAGGCAGAAATCACAAGCAAAGCCTGTAGTTTGCCAGCTGAAAGATGAGGGAAAAGGCTTCTAAAGCTGCAGATCATGGAAATGACAAGATTCTCTATAAATGCTGTGGCCTAAAACCACTTTAACCCTGTTAAGCTGATCAAAGGGGAATTGCAGATGGCCTGCTCAAATATCTCAGCAATTTCTTAAACCTTGCATTCTTTAGCAGTGATATAGTTGAAAGACACTTCTCAGCTCCCCACTCAAAAATGGGGAGTAGAGATTCCTACAGCATCTGGGCCATTGCCACAGGGCAAGGCACAGTCCCTACTCACACCTACCACTGCACATAAATAGTATCACTAACCAGCTAGAAAACAGGAGTTCATTACTGTCACCTAATAAAGAGACTGGTACCTCAAGGCATTCAAGACAACAGGTGCACAGTACCTTTTACAATGAAAAAGGTGAAAGCATTCCTGCAGTGACACCAAGGTATATTGATTTTCTCAGCTGCTGGCAAAAATATCTGTCACAATGACATCAGCAGATTTATGGGTGAGGGTGTTGAAAAGGCTTTTGCAGAGACAGTCTGACTTTTAGCCCTGTCCTGCTTCAAAGCGAGCCAAAGTCTCTACCTGGCCTTTGCAGAGCTGGGTGAAGATTCCAGCACTGCCAACCACGAGCAGCCCAGAGGCATCTGCATAAGTTTGGGTATCCAAATAAGTTTGTGAGTATATTTTGGCTCTTTCATGATGATGTGAGGTAATGAAAAGGTTCTTAGTGATGACAAGATGTCCAAACATGTCACTGTCAAAAACAGCCTCAAGCAAGGCTATGTCCTAGCCCAGCTCTTGTTTACTGCCTTTATGCAGCAGTTTTTGTTGCTGCATCTGGAAGCAGTGGCAAAGCAAGCTGCTTTAATTATTTTGTAGGTGGCAGGATTGCTAAACTGGAGAGATGCCAGGCTAAATCGAAAGTCAGAGAGGTCCTCTCAGGCAATCTGCCCTTTGGTGCTGACAGGGTGCTGGCTGTTCAGGATAGTACTGGTGGTTTTTCACTGCACTGCTGCAGTTTAGC